CTTGACGCGAACAATATAAAGTTGGCCATGCCCACCCAGTAGGCCACACGCACTCCATCCATGCCCACCCAGTAGGCTGCACCCACCCTGGCCACACCCACCCAGCCCCCCAAGGGCAACCGCAATGCTGATGCGACCCTCAGTGAAATTGATTTTGACACCCCTGTGCTATAGTTATCTGTGAATCACAGAATTAAGTTCTCTAAAGGAAAATTTCTAGACTTTACTGCTGTTAATTCTTTAAGGCAGAGTTCCCCAAACTTTCTGGTTTGGCGGCTCGGAAGGAAAGGGAGCAGTAGGGAAATGTGCACACACCTGGCCAGGCGCAAATGTGCACCGGTGGTGCTAGCGGGCGAGCGCATGCACAAATGGGCTGCATGCACCCATGGCACGAACATTGGCATGCACGTGCATGCGCAAACAGGCCAACGGCACCCATGGCACCCTGGCGCAGTGCTAGTGTTCCCACACATGCACACATGGGACTGCTAGTACCTGCGCGGCGGTGCTACAGTGAGTGGGGCAGGGCTCACCAGCTATTCCCAGGGCCCGGTGGCCACTAGGCCGCAGACCATAGGTTGGGGAGCCCTGCTTTAAGATATGTCTGTAATACTTGCCAAATCTGGCGGCAATAAAGATAATCAAAGTTTCAGTGGCTTAACAATTGAAATTGTCCATACTGTAACTAAAAAAAAACAAAGGTGTTACATAAGTTAAAAGTTTAGATGAATGTTTATAAAACGGTTTAATGTTTTTATAATGTGGGTTTTTGTGCTGCAAAAGTCTGCATTTTATTTTATTTTTATATCTATGGAATGCAGAGATATTGCTTGTAATCATTTTAACTTATCATTTGCGATAAAAACTAGCACTTCATTGCTCTAGGAATGTATGTCTTCCTAGGGGGAGGTCAATGAATCTTCTATTTCAATTATGGCAATGTTCAGAGTATATTAGGAATTTTCAAAGTTTTTCAGGATGTAGAAGCCAGAACTCCTGAATAGGAGGCAAGGCTCTAGTGATTAGTTGTGTTTAAGTGACATTTTAGATTCTCTTAGATTTTCATGGATTCTTAGAGTTCCGTATATAGTAAAGTTTGAAAACTCCTGTGTTAAGAGTATCCCAATGACTTCATATTACATTAAACCATGTAATGTCTTATTATGTTTTGGCTAAAGTATGTCACATGATCATTATAGTGAGTTTTGACCCATGTCTTGACATTTCTTGCCACAGTTGTTAAATGAATCACTGCAGATGTTAAGTTAATAACACAGTTGTTAAGTTAATCTGGTTTCCCCATTGATTTTGCTTGTCAGAAGGTCACAAAAAGTGGTCACATGACCCTGGAGCAGTATAACCGTCATAAATACATGCCAGTTGCTAAGTGTTTGAATTTTGATCACATGACCATGGGGATGCTGCAATTGTTGTGGAGTGTGAAAAATGGTCATAAGTCAACTATAAGTCATTGTAACTTTGAATGGTCACTAAATGAAGGTGTGTAATTTGAGGACTATCTATACAGGAATTTAAGGCACTATAGGTAGTCCACAACTTTACAGCTGGTCATTTAGCAACCATTCAAAGTTATGCTAGACCCGAAAAAGATGACTAATGACCTAGATTCAAAGTTCCAAAGTTGGGCCCCCTCACATGAGTGAACTTCAGGTGCTCTGCAGTACAACCACATTTGCTGTGTCCCATGGTTACATGATCATGTTTTACAATGGTTTTGCCAAAACCCAATACTTTCTTCTGGGTTTTGGCAATACCACACAAACAATTGGTTCACTTAATGGCCATAGTGATTCACCTAATAACCACAAAAGATTATAAAATCGTATGGGTCACATGACCGACCTGTTTTGCAACACACAACAGCAATGGGCAAATTCCATTACGGCCATATGTTGAGGACTACCCCTATGCATATTACTACCTCACCCCATTTCCACACAACACCGTTCTTGTGAAATAGTTAGGGCTGAGAGAAAGTGATTGCCAAAAGTCCTCCCCCAATGAGCTTCCATGACTGAGAGTAGACCAGAACCTGGGTTTCTTCTTCAACCCAGCATCTTAACCATTAGCCTTTACTAACTGAAAATTATCATTCAGGTATTTAGTGAACTGAGCTTCTATGATTAGTACCTGCGTACCACAAGTTTAAATGACTTGTAGCTTGGATAGTTTCCAGTTGTGTATATCTTATCCATGCTCCCTACCTCCATTTGTTTCCCCCTTCCCCTATCTGCTTGGGTTATTAAAAACATCCTCCAGTTCTATCAGATCATAACTGAGGTAGTTTCAAAGTGTTACTGTGCATTCAAAATTGGTACCTCATTGCCCCCCACCTTTCTGCTTTTATCTCTAATTCTATAATTTTAGTTCCCATTCAACCTGTTTGTAAAATCTGAATAGCATTTAGTATTAAAAATATATTGTTCATTCATAATTACTCCACCCTTCCCTTCCACACTTTAGCTTCTGTCATTTCTTTTTCTTTAGAATAAAGACTGAAATAACAGTGCACAAATAGAGCATTATGGACTCCTCTAATGCTTTTTAAAAATGTACATTTTTAGCACATGGAATGTACTGGGTTTTTTTTTAATTCAAAAACAACATTTATTAAGGCATGGTTTCTTTTGGGAATATTCACATATCTTTTTCTGGCATATCTAACCTTCAGATAGCTTACTGTTTATAAGCACCCTATTTTCACGTTTTCTTGATACATGAACTTCAGCATTACCAGATTTCATTGCCAAAAATCCAGGCACTCTTGTATAGGCTTGGCAGCAATCTAGTGGTCATCTGGATTTTTGCAGTCCATAGCTGGTAATTGAAACATACCTAAAATTATTTCAAAGTTGAAAATGTTCATTTTAATTTGGGGAAGGAGAGAAAATGTAAATCAAGCATTTACTTCTATTTCATTACCTATAAATAAATATTATGGATACAAAGGCCACTACATTCTTTTTGAAGATAAATCTACAGTCTCCCATGGAAATCTGATTCAGTCTGCAGTCACCCATTCTCTGGAAGGGGAAAGGCACAAACAATTAAAATTTTTGCTTTACAAAAATTATTGGTTTTTTATTTTTAATTGTCCATAACAAATATTTATTATAATGATATGAGGCAAAAAGGAGCTTTTTTGGGTGAAAAAACTGGCCTTGAACAGAGGAAAGAACCTGTGGCATACTGGTTAAGGTACTAGACTAGCACAGGTAGAGTCAGGTCCAAGCCATTTTCAGCCATCAAGCCTACTTAATGACTTTGGGCCGGTTATTCTCAATCCAATCCTACATCACAAGAACATTGTTGTCAAAGTAAGGAGAGCTCTTGATGAAAATGGCCTTAAGCTCCTGGAGGAAAGATTGATATAACTGTTAACAAAACATTAATTCAACTATTGCAACTTGGAAATATTAATATTTGTCTGAATTGTTTCAATTTTATCCAGCTCTGAAAAACAAATCTTAACATTTAAAAGATGTTTCCCTCACACTTAAAGTGGGGCTATGTAAAGAGCCTTACAACTAGATTTCCAGCTTTAAAAATATCAAAAAGGGTGGCGGATAGTTTGAATATCATAATGTGATAAAGACTGCCAAATGTCATAGAAATTGGTGCAAGAAATATATTCCCTACTTTCTATATTACTTAAGTATCCACAGTTTTCTATATTTTGCACCAAAAGAATGTGACATACAACAAAGCTAGACTATATGAGTAAGTGAACTGTGTCAAATACAGTATGTTTGGAAATATGCTTAGAAGTATTTTTATGTCACTGTTTTACTTTTTAATATAGCATCTGCTTACCATGCCCAACAATCCTTTGTCCATGGAGTTTGAATGCAACTCTGCAACACACACACACACACACACACACACAACTCATCGACAGGACTAAAAAATTGGAGATCAGGAGTTCTGCTTACAAGAATGGGAAGGAAGGAGGAAGGAAGGAAGGAAGGAAAGGGAAGGGAAGGGAAGATGGGAAGAATGGATAGCCCATTGACTTTGCCCATTGACCCCAGGATACTGCAACCATCATTAATATGAGCTAGTTGCCAAGCATCTGAAGTTTGATCACATGAACATGGGGATGCTGCAACAGTCATAAATGTGAAAAATGATCATAAGTCACGTTTTTCAATGCCGCTGTAACTTTGAATGGTCACTAAACAAACTATTCTGAGGACTATCTGTACGGTATTCCCTATGATAGAATCCTTATGAATATTCTGCATATTCTGTAAAGAAATGAAGGGAACATGGTATGGGAAATGAGAGAAGTGGAAAATTGGATAAATTTATTGATGGATGTTTGAGTTAGAATGTGGGTGAAAATAATAAAGTATATTCATACAGTCTTTCTGTTCACCCTTCACAGTTTTAGCATCTATTCAAAAGGCTGCAGACAGCAATCTATTACAACAGTTTTTCCATTATTTTTCTTATCAAACCAGTATATGAAACTTGTTGCTTAAAACTTTATACATCTTTTTGGCAATAGTGAGTTACTCTGCCTTTCCATCATTCATAATTTCATTCAGTGGGATTTATATGCCACTCCAATCCAGGAGGTCTTCTAGCAGTTTATTTCTTAGAGTAATAGAATTAAAATTAGTCTTCTCCCCACCCCATCTCACGTTAACTTTGAAACAGCCTTCTTTGTGCATTTTATGTCAAGTTTTGGATTTATGCCAAGTAACAAACAGCCCTCGCTCCACATTCATTTTGAAATCAAACAACATTAAATATGTAGCACTGACTTACATATTTAAATTCTCATTTATCAATGAAATATTGATTTTCTGTATTGCATTCCAAGTTGTATTGTTTTTAAATATGGAAAATAGTTTTTAATGTGTTGCTTTTTTCTAAACCATTGCCACTGTGTTGCTAATAAGAAAAAGTAATGTTCTATGAACTGGAACCTTGTCAAAATACATTGTCAAACACTTTATTTTTCCTAATTTCAGGGAGTGGAAAGAGGACACAAAAATGATATTTCTCCTTTCAGCAATTTCATTTCAACTATCAGCCAAAAGAAAGAAGATTCTGAACAATTAGTTATTACTGATATAAAAAATGGTGAGAGAATAAAATATTTAATTATTTAGTCACCTCTAGCTGAAGGTGATACTTGGTATTTGAAGATGTTGTTCTTTTTATTTGTGTTATGACAATGCTTTCAGTACTTTTTATATAACTGTCTTTGTGTGAAGTATTAATGTGACACAGCACAGTAAGAAACAACCTTCTAGTAAGTATAATTATAACAGTTCAGTAGGGATTGTAGGATGAAATAACTAGAATGAATTTTAACACTGATGGTATTCAGTTTGCACATGTAAGTTAATGAATAGTAATAATAGTAACCTGCCACCTGCTTAATTATGTTTTTAAACAGTATTTGTTCTTCCAAAGGTTTTATAAAACTTTGATTGCAAAAAATATTTCGTAATTGTTAGTATGTTTAGAAAAGTCTTTTTAAAATTACATATAAGAATAACTGGAGTCGAATCTGTCTTTATAAACAGAAGAATTATGAATGAATAAGCAAACAGATGAGAATATGCAAAATGCTGGAACTTAATAGTATGGTAATTATTTTATAGCACATTTACAAAGTGGTTTCCGAGTCTTATCCTTCACATACCCACGTTTAAAGCATTTAACATTTTAATAAATAGGAACTTTAGCTGCACAGGCTAAATGGATGAAGCAAAATGTAATAATCAAAGCAAGTATGAAAGAGCAGAGTTGCATGACGAGATTGCGAAACACGTTTATCTATATCAGTGGTTCTCAACCTGTGGGTTGTGACCCCTTTGGGGGTCGAATGACCGTTTCACAGGGGTCGCCTAAGACCAGGGCTTTTTTTCTCATAGAATCCTCAGAACGGCATTCCGGCACCTTTTTTTGATGGATTTTTTCAACTTTTCCATGAGCTGTGCTACTCTCTCTATTCTATTGGCTTTCGAAAGCCAATAGAATAGACTCTATTGAATAGACTCTTAATCTATTGAATAGATTAAGAGTCTATTCAATGGACTCCATTCTATTGGCTTTCGAAAGCCAATAGGAATTGTCCAGACCTGGTTGTTAACGGCTGTCTCTGCACTGCTGAGCGTGCCAAAAGACCCAGCCCACAAACGTTGCACATGCAAGTTGTCTGCAGCAAAGGCAAGTTTGCAGGAACTTTTCACCCCTCCCTGCTGAACAACTATGCCATCTCCTACTTGTAAGTAAAAGAGGACCAGGGGTGGGAGGTGGGGAGCAGCACTTAATTCTGCCCTGCCGAAAAAGTGGAGTCCATGTGCATTCTTGCCTCATGCTCACCTGTGTCAGCCAGGCTCTCCATGTCGCGCTGCAGCATGGAGAGCCTGGCACTGAAACACGGAAAACATGCTCGCCTGCCTCATGCTCACCTTGTGCGCCATCGGTGTGCATTGCGGCTGCTGTGGGAGCTGCGGGGCCCAATCTATACGGGGCTGCGCGGGGTGGGCAGCGGGGCTGGTGGGGCGGCTGCAGGCGGGGGTATGGGGCGGGAGTGGCTGCAGCAGCGGCTCTGGGGGGGCAGCCCGCCACTGATGCCCCCCGTGCCTCACACATCATATTCTTAGGAACCTGTCTTGCTTTCAACTTCCCCTAAAATTCTTCATTCAGGCAGGCTTCCAGAGTTCGGCTGGCAGGATGCAGGTAACCCCTCCCCCCTGTCCTGCCGCCTCCCACATCACCATGCCGCTCTGCGTCCCGTATCTCAAGCCTCTGTGGCACAGAACCGCTGGCATCCCCAATGGCCGCTGACGCGCTCCCCGCCGCAAGCGACCATGCAAGCCCTGGCAATTGCTCCAGCCGAAGAAGCGGGTGGCTGGGAGGCCACTGCGGCGCTGATCTGTGCCCATCAGCTGGCGACCCCCTGAATGTGCGCTTATCAACTGGGAGGTCTGGCGATGGAGCAGGCCGGCATGGAGGGCAATGGGGAGGTGGCAGCTTGGCAGGCGGGTTCCCGCCTGTTCACGAATGTCGGGCCCATGGGGCTCGACACAGAATCGATGGTCCAACATAACTTCCCTCCTTGGATGAGAAAGAAGGAATCTCTCCCACCCGTGTCCCTTTCCCCCCCTCAAGCGACAACAGGAGGTTGCAGACAACTAAGTCAGCCGGTGCAGGAAGCCCTGGAATGGCCAATCCAGGGCACCTGGTTGCAGTGCTGGATGTCTTTTGCTCCTCCTAGAAGCTGGTGGCAAAAGGAAGAAGTCATTCAAACTTCAAGCTAGCTACTGGATGTCTATTCACACTTTTTTTCCTTCTTTTTTTTTCTTTTTTTTTTTTTTTGAGTACTTGTCTGCCAACCCACCCCATCTGTAAAAGAAAAAGTCTTCCACCCAAGCATAACTTTTAAGGATTTTAAGGATCTTTGAGAGGAAGAGAGGGAGAGAAAAAGGGAAAGAGAAATAGAGAGAGGGAGAGAGAGAAAGAGAGAGGGAGAGAGAGAGAGAGTGACAGGGAGAGAGAGAAAGGGAGAATGGGAGAGAGAAAGAAAAGGAGACAGTGGGAGAGAAAGAGAGGGAGAGAGAATGGGAGAAAGGGAGGGAGAGAGAGAAAAAGGGGGAGAGGGAGGGAGAGAAGGGAGAAAGAGGCAGAGAGAAATGGAGAGAGAGAGAAAGGGACAGAGAAAGAAAGGAAGAGGGAGGGAGAGAGAGAGAAAGAAAGAGGGCGACAGAAAGAGGGAGAGAGAAAGAAAGGGAGAGAGAGATTAAATTAGTAACATGGTTGTTAAGTGAATCTGTTTTCCCCCATTTACGTTGCTTGTCAGAAGGTTGCAAAAGGCGATCACATGACCCTGGAACAATGTGATCATCATAAATGTGAATCAATTGCCAAGCATCGAAATGTAAATCACATGACCCTGGGGATGCTGCAATGGTCATAAGTGTGAAAAATGATCATAAGTCACTTTTTTCAATGCCGTTGTAACTTTGAACAGTCACTAAGCAAACTGTTGTAAGTCAAGGACTACCTGTACTTTATCACTTTTTCCCATTTTTTTTTTTGGTCATCAAGTTTTTGACACCTTGCTAGGTGACTGGTGGTACATGAATGTTGCCATATTCTAAAAGTGGTACAGTCGGTGAAAAGGTTGAAAAGCCCTGGACTAATGGACAAATTATTTCATAACAGTAGCAAAATTACAGTTATGAAGTAGCAATGGAAATAATTTTATGGTTGGAGGTCACCACAAGATGAGGAACTGTATTAAAGGGTCGCGGCATTAGGAAGGTTGAAAACCACTGATCTATATGGATATACCCATGCTTAACTGCAGAATAAAAATTTTCTGAATGCTATATTTGATGTTGACTATTTGGGCCTTTTTATACATACTCCATACACACATTCAAATTGCCTCTGTTAAGACTACACACTTAAAATAAAATGAACTCTCTCAGAATCTCTTGAGGGATGTAGGAGAAAAAAGTGTTACAAGTGGTTTATATGAATTTATCACAAAGTAAAGTTAAGGGCTGGAATTAAACATACAATTTTCCTATTTGTAAAGAGAATTAGAGAAAATGAAAGTTGAGTTATCACCACACAAAATCCGCTTTTTAAAGATAGCTTTAAAATTATCTTGCATTTTACCAGGTACATTAGCTGTTTTCATCAGTAATGCATAGAAATCAAATCATCAGAGTTAGCAGTTACAGGTAGTCTTCAATTTATGACCATTTGTTAAACACAGTTCAAAGTTATGATGTCCTTGGAAAAAGTGACTTATATTCACATTTATGACCATCATATTATCCCCACAATCACATGATCATAATTCAGGCATTTGGCAACTGACTTCCATTTATGACCTGTTGCAGCATTCTACAGTGATGTGATTGTGATTTGCAGCCTTTTTTGTTGATTTCAGGGGGGGAGGAAATGCTCATTGGGGAATCTGGATTTGCTTAACAACATAAAATTGGGTTTGACTCTAATTATAACCACAACATCTTATGACAGAAATTCCTGCCCCAGTTACAGCTATGAATCAAGGATTACCTGTACAGACTCTACTTTGCTATAAATGGGTTTTTACATTGTATATACACGTAATATTTATTTTTCCCACCTTCTTAACCAATCTCCACCTTTTTACAGTCTTTCAGTTAACAGTACAAAGGAGTCTAGAAATCCAAGCCATATCTCAAGACCATACAACTGATAAGCACTGAATATTTATTAACTGGCTTGGAGAGGAATATGTGATTGATCCCTGTCTAGCATTTGCCATCTTATAATATCATTTTCTGGAATTATTGAAGCTAATAATGCTTTTAATGATCAGACTGCATATTTAAAGTACAGTTATATAGTTTGCTCATTCTTGGGTGGCACAGGTGGAAATGAGCACATCACTATGCTACAGATGCTTTTAGATTGAAAGGATTAGCCAGCTATAAGCTGTTGTCCAGAAGACGCCTGAATGTGTTAACAGCACACATTCTTCAGAGAGGTTCCTTTCATGAGAGCTATAGGATTATATTTTAAATATTATGTCTTATAGTATGCCTTATTATAATTGTGATGCTTCTGACACAAATAAACATTCTTGGGTGTTAATAAGAGATTTCATTCATTCCACTTTTATGTCAAAATCTATTATTTCCAGTGTGGAATTCTGCAGTTATACTGAAATACAATTTGATCATTGTGTTCATATATTTGTTAGTTGAGCAGCCTGTATTTATGTGATTATTAAATCAGATTTAGCATTCATTTGCAACTCTTGTATCTCTCTCGAGTTATTTCCTAAAGCTTTTTGTTTTATAATCTTTAAAATCTGAAAGGTGTGTTTTATATGATACCTGAATTAGAAGAACTTTTATTTTTATTCCTTGAAAACACGACATGATCAAAACTGGATTCAGCTTGATCTCAAAAGTCAGAAATTAAATTTTCCTGACTTTGAATACTATAAGGAATTATGACTGGAAGTAGTTGCATATTATTGCTCTCTTCTAGTTCTTATTTACATGTAAATAATTCAACTAAATGATCTCTAGATAATTGAACTCTAAATCCTATTATCTTCTTATGTAAGAAGTGAACCTTTTAGCAATGCCAATAGAAAAATTATTAGAACATTTATAAGATTATTTGTGAATATATTATTTTAATTAAATGTTATTATTCTTATAATTTTTTTAACTCTGAAAATATGTTTATATGAACTGTTTATTACAAAAAAATAGGTTTTCTTCCCCAGAAGAGTTCTAGACCCATTTCAGGAAGTTCTGAAATGAAAGAGAGTTATGAGGTAGCTTAGAGGCTCGAAGAAGGAGTAACATCCTCTCTTAAATATCTTTCCAGGGTCTCTCAGAAGTAAATTTCATAACTTCTTTTCTGCCAGTGCTACTTCAAATTCAATATGGGTGTATAAAAATTATATATTTTATGGCTTCTAGAAATATGTTATTAGTTCTTAGGATAATCTAGTTTTAGTCTTAAATAAGAATTCCAACTGAAAATAAATATTTTAATAATATTTACTCAAGATTGCACTAGTTTAGATGGCTGCTTTCACGTGCTATTTACTTGAGTATTGTAATACTGATTTTTTTTTCATCTTTTTCTCTTTTATTTTTAAATTAGCAAAAGAAAAGTCCCTTGGCCTTGGTGTTAGGCAAAAACACCGTACCTCAGTGGATATAATTCCGGTAGAAATGAAAGTTTCAATCCCACTGGAACCGTCCTGTCTCACCCAAACAAAAACTATGAAAGAATTTTGGTAAGTAATGTTGTTACTTATTTGATATACAATTAAGTTCAACTTATCGATGTATGGTCTGCTTAAGGTAATTATTGTTGCTATTACTTAGTGAGGACTTTATGAGTAATAGACCAATTCTTGTGTTTGTACTAAAGAAACATGTTGGAAAGTCATTTTTTCTCAAGGCTAAACATATCTAGTTCCAGTTTCCTCTTCTTCTTCTTAACGTCTGCATCTACTTTGTTTTCTCTGAATCTTTTATAAAAACAAATGCCCAGAAACTCAAAATAAGGACTCACCAATATATATATATATACATATATACCATCATTTACGTGTGTGTGTGTGTGTGTGTGTGTGTGTGTGTGTGTGTGTGTGTGTATATATATATATATATATATATACACGTCAAACCCCGAATTTGGGAAAGAGAAAACACCCAACAACCGGGAAACAGCCTATTGCATCAGACCCAATGACAAGATCTAGGAGCCGGGTGCAGACTCTGACCAATCTATAAAGAGGACTCTCCCACTGACCGGCATTTTGAGCAGTTGCGGACGAAAGCTAGGCGTTTTATTGATTTTATTGGTATTTTATTAAATTTTGCTAAATTTTTAAGCATTCCCTGGTGCTCACATTTATTTGTTTGGTTTTAAACATGGATATACCCAGGGATCATATTTTTAGTGTAATTGTTAACATATATATATACATACAGAACAGAAATTCAATAAAATATTAATTTATAACATGTTGCATTTGTACTTTCTTAGGGATGACATAGAAAAAGCTAAGTTAACAGGAGATTGGAAAGAAATCTATGACTTTTATTCAAAAACATTTGATTCTTTTCCAGAAGTTAACACTGCATTTAAGGTAATTGGCAATGTTTTCACTACTTTTTCCTTTTTTCGCCAGTTTGTGACTTAAAAAAAGTAATTACCAATAGTGTAAAATACGAGTTATAATATTATGTAATTAAAACCAAATAAACTAAAATAGAAGCTGGATAGATTAAAGAAAAAAAGTTTTTAAAAGAAACTGATATCATGAAATGCATTACTTTTTTGTATTGCTTCAAATTGATTAAATCGTTTTCTCAACTGAGGCTTTATGTTTTTGGAAATATATATTTTGAAAATAGTATGAAAACTACAACTGCATCTGTAAATAAATGAAAACCAGAAAGTATGAAGTCCAGAAAAAAAATATATGTGTGAAAACATAATATATAATACAGAGAGGCTGAGGGTGGAGTATATTCATAATACAAGTTGAAAGATTAGCATTTTCAGAGCCACAATATAAATAATCTATTCAGGAGGCAAGAGTCTTAATCTAGTCACTTTCCCTTTGCCATGTTTCCAGATGACCACACTGTAGGAGTTATTCCAAGAGTTGGGAGACTTCCTGCTTAAATAATAGGTAGAAATTTTGATTGAGGGGATGGGGAGGGTCACCCAGTTTATGAAGTACACTAGTTGTGGTCCTACTTAGACCTTGATGTCTCAATAACTTAAACATCAAGTTGAACTATTGCAATATGCTTTATATGCGGCTGTCGTTAGAGACAACCCTGAAGGTACAGCTGGTACAAAATGCAGCATGTAGAGCTGATGTTCAGTTCCAGTATAGCAAAATGACACCCATTTTGAGGTTATTGCTGTAGATTACCAGGCAAGATTCATAGTGCTGGTCATATATTTAAAGCCTTACATGGCCCAGCACTAGATTATATCAGGCAACCCTTACCAGAATGGAATCTGCCTCCCCAAAGTGATGATCAAAAAAGAGTCCACTGGAATCCCATCTGTCATCTGAAGTATGTAATATGGACAAGATGGCAGGGGTTCTTAGTAGTTACCCCAAATTTAGTAACACAGTTTTTCACAGAAACACTTATAACTATTTTCACAAACACAGCAATTTTATTTCACCATACCTTTGGCCAAAGCTGAAGTGAGGTGTTATGATACTGTTGTAAACTTTATTATATTAGTTTTTGTTTTAAGGGTATTGTCTCATTGTTTGTTTCCCCAAATGCTATAAAATGAATAAAAACATTAAATTATGACATTTTTAAAAATAAATATTATTCCAAGAATTATAGCTGTAATACAATTGAAAATATATTAGAGAAGATTATCTATGTTTATTATTTCAATTTGCAGAAATACAATGAAACTCCTCTTAATTCCATTGAAGAGTGTGGAATTGATGCTAAATTTGTAAATACAGTATATGATACCTTATTTCAAGCTGTAAGTCAACTACTGTTTGCTTTTCTGCTTTGTAATCTTGTACAGAATATTATAATGATATACTTATATTATAGTTTGTTTGTTTTTCAGTTATTATTTTAGATATTGGGTAGGTTCTGGATTTATATAGTTGTAACTATCAATATTTCTAAAGTACACTTTAATAATTATCAGGATTTATAATCTCTTTGAATTTGCCTAATTAATTTTAAAATTACAGTTGTAAACATGGTTGTATGATGCTATTAAAAAAAATGAGTATTAAATCTAATCTTAAGACATACAGATAAGTACTACATGAATGTCCCCACTTGGTCTGAAACATCTTTTTGCCTTTGAAATATAATCACTGCAGAACACTATAAATAATAAATGCTAATTTTATTTGTATATATTGTAGTGTAATGTTATTTTAAAAAATAAATTATTTAATTTAATTGCATAATTTAGTCTGCACCCATAAACCTGAACTGAAACATAAAATAAGTTTACACAAGAAAGATAGTGATAATATGAATGTGAAAATATATTCATTTTAAACAGGGAATCATTCTAAATAACTTTCCAGTAACAACAGGACAACATTGTATCATGGTTAATATATCTAAATAATATTTTGAAACTGAAATATTCTGAATTTTAATTAATTTTCACAGCCCAGAATTGTTATAGATACTACTAGTCTTTAGCTGCAGATTATTTATCTGTTAAGAGCTGGAAGAAATATTGCTTTCTTTTGGTTCTGTGAAATTCTGCACATATGGGCAAAGAGATACTGTAAGGACCCACCCCACTTTGCATGTTAAGAAGACAGAACTCTTGAAATATTTCTTCCAACAGGCATCCTTTATTAAGAGAAAATGGTTGCAGGCGTTCTAGACAGGACCTGGGGCCCAAGCCCTATGGTTCAAGATTTTAAGGGGTCCCAGCAGCCCCACCTCACCCCACCATCTTTCCAGCAACAATCCCAGGAGTTATATTTCCACCCCCTTTTTCCTCACTGCCGGTGGAAGGGAGACTTCAGAGAGGAGTAGATGAAAGCTGATAGCCCCATTGTTATGCTTTAGTCCTTTTGGTGGTATCCACATTCAATTCCTTTGAAGTTGTACCGAAGGAAGTGAGGGCCATAAAACCCCTTTGTTCACCCCCCTTCCCCTTCATCATATGACAGAATCCAGAGAGGGCAGAAATGGGGTTTTCCATAGTCGATAACTAGAGATGAAATATAATTGGATTCTGACATCCTGCCCCCTTATAAATAAGATAGATCCATCTGAAAGGAAACAAAACAGGTATAAAAGTTAGTCAGGCTTGTTAGGATACTCTGTGTGAAACTTCTTTAACAGCTTCGGGGCTCTGACATGACGTTTATGGACCCACTTGTTTTGTGAGGCAGGGAGCTGTTTCCATGCAACTAGGTACTGAGTCGCTCCATGATATCTCTTAGAGTCTAAGATTTCCTTTATTTCAAAGTGTTGTTCGCCCTCCAGCATGATTGGAGGTGGTGGTGGGGGATTTTTGGCCATAACGATGACTGATGCTCTCTTTTCAGCAAGCTGCAATGAAAAATTGGGTGTATTTGCCTGAGATTTTTGGGTAGTTCTAATTCTACTGTTACTGGTTTATGATTGTTTTAATTGGAAAAGGCCCTATATATATATTGGTCCAGGTTTTTTACAGGGTTGTAGGGACTTTAGGTATTTTGTAGATAAGTACACCATTTCTCCTATAATGAATGGTGTAGGCTCAACCCTTTTTTTATCGGCTTGTGTTTTGTATGCCTGCCTAGCTTCATCTAGTGCAGTGTTTCTCAACCTTGACAATTTTAAGGCATGTGGACTTCAACTCCCAGAATTCCTCAGCCAGCAATGCTGGCTATGGAATTCTGGGAGTTGAAGTCCACATGCCTTAAAATTGTCAAGGTTGAGAAACACTGATCTAGTGCTTTTCTAACTACTGGCCAGGTATTTTGTAATTGTTCCATCCATTCTTTCAGTGATGGGATCGCCAGTTCCTTTGGGGTTAATTCTGGCATGGGGTTGAAACTTTGACCAGTGGCTATTTGAAAAGGAGTGTAACCTATGCTGGAGTGGACTGCATTATTGTAGGCAACTTCTGCGAAAGGGAGTAAGTCCGCCCAATCGGACTGCTGGAAACTAAGAAAACATCTTAAATATTGCTCAAGTACTGAGTGACACTATTCTGTCTGTCCATCCCCTTGTGGATGATGGCTAGATGTCAGTCTCTGAGTGGTCTCTAAGAGGGATAAAAATTCCTTCCAAAATGCAGACGTAAATTGCACTCCCCTATCAGAGATGATGCGTTGGGGTGCCCCATGCAATCTGTAAATGTGCTGGACGAAAAGTTTTGCTAAGGCTTTTGCGGTGGGAAGCTTTTGGCAAGGGATGAAGTGCACCTGTTTGGAAAACAAGTCTGTGACCGTCCAGACAACAGTATTCCCATTGCTTTCTGGTAATTCCACTATAAAATCCATGGCTATTCCCCTCCAGGGGGCTGAGGGATTTGCCACTGTTTGTAACAGTCCGGTTGATTTCCCTTGCAACTTCTTTGCAGTTGCACACTTTGGGCAGCTGGCCACATAACTTTCTATGTCCTTTTTTATGGATGGCCACCAAAATTGCCGTTTAATTAAGTGTAATGTTTTTACAAATCCAAAATGCCCTGCTGATTTTGAGTCGTGGCAAAGCTGCATGAATGTGACTATTTGGGTTGTTGGTATATATAACTTTTCCCCCACCCAAGGCAGCCCATCTCTCATTGTGCACACATTTTTGTTTTTCTGGAACCATTCATCTGTTTCCAAACTTTTCTGGAATTTAATTCCAGTTTTGCTGCCCAGCTGTGGTTTTAATTTAGTTTGGGCTCTGGTGGTTACTGGCGCTGCCAGTTGTGATTCTACCATCATCAGTTTAGAGTCAGTGGCTCGCATGCTGTTATATTGGGGCATGCGAGATAGTGCATCTGCCAGGAAGTTCTTTCTCCCCGGCAAATGCTTGAGTGTAAATTGGAGCTGGTGAAAATGCTGGGACCAGCGGGCTTGCTTGGGGTTGAGCTTCCTGGGTGTTTTCAGGGCTTCCAAATTTTTGTGGTTAGTCCACACCTGGAAGGGGATTTTGTTGCCTTCAAGGAACTGACCAACGTATCCCGCATGCCTCTTTCTCCCATACGGGCCAGCACTGTTCCGTTTCCGTGAGTTTCTTGGATGTATATGCACAGGGTTGCAATACCCCTTCATCGTTTTCTTGTAATAGTACAGCCCCCACTGCCACATCACTTGCATCCGCCTGTATTATGACGGGCTTATCCATTTCTGGGTGCCTCAGTACTGGTTCGGCAGAGAAAAGTCTCTTTAATCTCTCAAACGCTGCTTGGCACTCCATTGTCCATGTTAGTAGCTGCCTAGGTTTTACTGAGGATGCTCCCTTCGTTTTTAGTAAGTTCGTGAGGGGCAGGGCTATCTGGGCAAATGAGGGGATGAATTGGTGGTAAAAATTTGCGAAGCCCAGGAAACTTTGCAGTTGCTTTTTTGTGTGGGATGGTGCCCATTCTAATACTGCTCTGACCTTCTCTGGGTCCATTTCAATGCCCTGTGGGGATATGCAATAACCTAGGTAGTCTATCCTTTCCTGGTGGAATTCGCATTTCGAGAGTTTGGCATATGGGTGGGCGGCTCACAGTTTTTTTAAAACCGCTCTGACTAGATTGACATGTTCCTCCTTTGATTCGGTGAAGATAAGAATGCTGTCTAAGTAAACCAGGACCCCCTTAAATAGGTGCTTCCTTAGAACGTCATTGATTAATTGCATAAATACTGCGGGGCCCCCTTGTAATCCAAATGGAAAGACTTTGAATTGGTAGCACCCCATGGGGCAGTTAAATGTGGTCTTCCATTCATCCCCTTTCTTAATTCTCACGCAATAGTAAGCTTCCCTTAGATCTAGTTTTGAAAAGATTTTTCTTTTCGAGAGGTATGACAACATGTCCTTCATGAGGGGCAGAGGGTATAGGTTGCTTTCACTGATTGTATTCAGGGCTCTATAATCCACGCATAAGCGTAAAGAGCCGTCCTTCTTCTCTCTAAAGAGGACCGGGGCAGCCACTTTAGGCTTGGCTGGCTCAATGAACCCCCTTTCTAGGTTTTTCTTTATGAATCTGTCCATTTCCTCCTTCTCCTTTGAGCTCATGGAGTATAATCTGGGCTTCGGGAGTTTTACCCCAGGCTTGAATTCAATGGCATAGTCTGTGATGATTCACTTTAATATGAGATAAAATCATTTCTGTAAAAAATTGCCTGGGAAAATTAAATGTTATCTTCTCTTGGAAGTGGTTGGTGGGGATTATATATTTTCTGTATTTATTTTAAAAAGAACTGTACCTGCTAATTCACAATGCTTTGTGAATTATATTCCTCTTTCAGCTTCTTTCCAAATACTCACTTGACTATTGAAGTATTTCTGGGAAAATATTCAGTCTGTTTACATGACAGTATACATCACATACTATCTTCTCCAGCACTGAATTATTGTTCATGAGTTATAGACAGAAAATTAATTAATTTAATTTTAAAATTAATTGCAACCATTTTTACAGTGCTTTGTACTATGAGGGGAAAAGAGAGGAAATAAGGAAGCAGGGAAAGAATAGAGATTTCTAGCACATGAATACCAAATAGGCAAATTGTGCACCTCCACAAAAAAGCCAAATAAATTTAGAGTCTCCAGTTATGTATTTGACACTATAATTCAATTTAGGAAGACAGTTTTGAAATCTGATTTAATTTGGAGATTCAATCTAATTGCCTCCCCATCTTTTAATCACATATTTGCATAGTCCTAAACTCTAGACCCAATAATATAACTAAAACAAAAATAATAAAGAGTATTATCATGCATGAAAATAAGCATGATCCAACTCATAAATAATACTTAAGAGTAAAACCTAATTTTTGTGAAGTTCAATATTCATAGCAATATAGGGTATGTAAAAATCTAGAAAGATAATTACTTTGAAAGGAAGATGCTAAAGTGATCAACAAATGTTTTGTTGATTTAAAACAATTTATCTACATAAGAGTGGAACAATTTTAAGTAGTTGCTGCCACCCAACTCAAAAGTAGATCAGTTACATTACTAGAATGTAACATTCAAAATTATTCTCTTGGGATATTAAATACTTTAGTAATTTATAAATATGAGGAACATTTAAAAGTAAAATTCCACTAACAATTGTTTATTCCTCAAGGATATGTAGCTCAATAAGTACAATTCAGAGAAATAGGTATGACTAAAGTCCTATTCATCTATATCATGGAACAAAGTTAAATATATGACTAAATATGCAGAGGTTGTGCTTCCCATTGCTCATATTCCATTAATTTAAATGTCATTTAGTCTTAATGCTCCAGCTTTGCCATTTAAAATATAAACAGATAGAAAAAAATGGAGAAATTACCTTCTTTCTCCATCAGAGTAAAATACATTTTTTCCTTTAGTCATAACTTTTAGGATTATGAAAAAAATGGAGAAATTACCTTCTTTCTCCATCAGAGTAAAATACATTTTTTCCTTTAGTCATAACTTTTAGGATTATGTTATTGCCTATGCTGTAATCAGGTTATACCATAATGAAATTGATATTTACAATGAAATATTTTTCCTAAAATAAACCTAGAAATGGAAAATAGACATTTTATAAATTTTTAGACACAAAGGGATTTTTCCATTAAATAGAAACTATATCTTTTAAAAACTGGAATCTGTCTGTCTACTGATCTATCTGCCTGCCTGCCTGCCTGTCTGTCTGCCTGCCTACCTACCTACCTATCTATCTTGTCAACATCATCATCTATCTCAGAAACATCATCATCATATACATACCAGTGTATAAGGAGCAAAATGGAAAAGGCCAGCGCATAGCACAATTCAATATGTGGCTAAAGGAGTGGTGTAAACGCTTTGGATATATTAGTCACGATGTCTGTAGCTGGTCCAATGAAAAGATGTACAAAAGAGATGGTTTGCATCCATCAAAGAAAGGGACTGAGTTACTTGGCTATAAATTCACAGATTTTCTGGAGGAAAATTTAAAACTAAGCAGCAGGGACAGTGAGTTAATTGATACAGAACAATCCTGTCCCCAGCAATCTAAAGGTTATAGGGCTACAAGTGCATGTAACATAGATATGTGTGTGGACAAGAATACCAACCTTGCTGTCAAGCAAAATCAAAATCAAGCCTCTAATAGCGAGTGCCACACAAAGTGCACTAACCAAATAGGTGGTAAGACAATAGGGGAACTCAGGCACCAACAGGTTATGTAGAAAGTAAACACAGGACCAGTCATAAAGGACTCAAATGTCTATACACCAATGCACAGAGTATGGACAGCAAACAGGGTGAACTAGAAATTCAGGTTAATGAGGGCAAATATTGTTGCCATTATGGAAACATGGTGGGATGAAACCCACACATGGAACACGCAGCTAGAGGGATTTAAATTATTTATAAAAACAGACCAAATAAAAGAGGAGGTGGAGTTGCTCTCTATATAAGAAATAACTACATCTCTACAGAAATAGAGTACAACAATGATAAAAACTGCCTTGAATGCATTTGGGTCAATATAAAAGGGGGGAAAATGACATTGCCATAGGTGTATACTACAGGCCACCCAACCAAACAGAGGAAATTGATGAACTTTTTGCTAGTTAGTTAACTAAGGTATGTCGGAAGCACATCACAATAGTAATGAGGAGCTTTAACTACCCTGACATCAACTGGAAAACAAACTCTGCACCAAGTGGAAGATCAAACAGGTTCCTGGCAAACCTAGCAGAAAACTTTGTCTCCCAAAAAGTAGAGAAGGGAACTAGGGGATTAGCCATTTTGGATCTAATTCTCACTAACAGAGATGAAATGATAGAAGGTGTTGAAGCCATAGGAACCCTGGGAGGAAGTGATCATGCAATATTGGAATTCAACATTATGGAAGCACAAGCAATAGAACACAGTCAAACTAGAGCCTTGGACTTCAAGAGAGCTAATTTCAATAAACTTAGAGAGGGCTTGATAAGGATTCCATGGATGAGAATCCTCCAGGATAAAACAACTCAAGAAGCTTGGGAAATTTTGAAAAATGAGATAATAAAAGCCCAGTCTAGCACAATACCAACAAAGAGGGAAAATAACAGCTCTCAAAAGAAACCAGCATGGCTGCATAAAGAACTCTCTGACAAATTGAAAGATAAAAAGGACAAGTATAGAAAGTGGAAAGAGGGACACATAACTAAGTCAGAATATCAGCAAATAGTCCGAGCCTGCAAAGATGAAGTGAGGAAAGCCAAGTCTCAAAATGAACTAAGGCTTGCGACCAAAGTCAACAATAACAAAAAAAAGCTTCTTTCAACATGTAAAAAACAAGAAAAAAGTGAAGGAAATGATTGGTCCATTAGTGGGAGAAAGTGGCAAGAAGGTGACAAGCAACAGGGAGAAATCAGAACTATTTAACTCGTTTTTTACATCTGTCTTTACACAGGGAAAGGGAAAAAACTGACCAACCTATCAAAAATAGTGTCATAAAAAACAGAATAGAAACACAAGTTAAGATAGGCAAAAAAATGATAAGTGAGCACCTGTCCAGCCTAGATGTGTTCAAATCACCAGGACCAGATGGATTACACCCCAAGGTTCTCAAGGAACTGGCAGATGTGATCTCAGAACCACTAAACTATATTTTTCAAAGATCCTGGAGCACAGGGAAACTACCAGAGGACTGGAAAAGAGCTGATGTAATTCCCATCTAAAAAAAGGAAAAAAAATGGACCTAGGAAATTACAGACCTATCAGCCTGTGAAGATCCTGGAAAAGATAATCAAACAACGAATCAGCGAACAACTAGAGGCAAAGAAAGTCATTACTAAAAGCCAACATGGGTTTGTCAAAAATAGATCATGCCAGACAAATTTTATTGCATTCTTTGACCAAGTGACAAAATTAGTGGATCAGAGGAATGCTGTGGACATAATTTACTTGGATTTCAGTAAGGCATTTGATAAAGTAGATCACAACCTACTACTTGACAAGATAGAAAAATGTGGGGTAGACAGCACCACCACCAGATGGATTTGTAGCTGGCTGACCAGCCGTACTCAGCGCGTGGTCCTCAATGGAATCGCATCTACATGGAGGGAAGTGTGTAGTGGGGTGCCCCAGGGCTCTGTTCTGGGCCCAGTGCTCTTCAACATCTTTATCAACAATTTGGATGAGGGGATAGATGGGGAAATCATCAAATTTGCAATGACACCAAGCTGGCAGGAATAGCCAATACTCCAGAAGACAGGCTTAAGATATAGAAGGATCTGGACAGACTTGAACACTGGGCGCTATTTATCAAAATGAAATTCAATAGCGAAAAAAGCAAGGTTCTACATTTAGGCAAGAAAAACCAAATACACAACTATAGTATAGGGAGTACCTTGCTCAATAGTAGTAACTATGAGAGGGACCTCAGAGTCCTAGTGGACAAACACCTAAATATGAGCCAGCAGTGTGCTGCAGCTGCCAAAAAGGCCAACACAGTGCTAGGCTGCATTAACAGAGGGATAGAATCAAGATCACGTGAAGTGTTAATACCACTTTACAATGCCTTGGTAAGGCCACACTTGGAATACTGCATCCAGTTTTGGTCACCATGATGTAAAAAAGATGTTGAGACTCTAGAAAGAGTACAGAAAAGAGCAACAAAGATGATTAGGGGACCGGAGGCTAAAGCATATAAGGGACGGCTGCTGGAATTGGGTATGTCTAGTCTAATGAAGAGAAGGACGAGGGGGGACATGATAGCAGTGTTCCAATACCTCAGGGGCTGCCACAAAGAAGAGGGTGTCAAGCTATTTTCCAAAGCGCCTGAAGGCAGGACAAGAAGCAATGGGTGGAAACTAAGCAAGGAGAGAAGCAACTTAGAACTAAGGAGAAACTTCCTGACAATTAGAACAATTAACCAGTGGAACAACCTGCCTCCAGAAGCGGTGAATACTCCCAACACTGGAGGTTTTTAAGAAGAGATTGGACAGCCATTTGTTCAAAATGGTATAGGGTTTCCTGCCTGAGCAGGGGGTTGGACTAGATGACCTTCAAAATCCCTTCCAATTTTACTATTATTATTATCTCAGAAACATCATTTGAAAATTGCTGTAACTATTTAAAGAATTATATGAACATATAGCAATCACTTACTGTCAAAACAGAAAGTTGTAAAAATTACTTGTTCCTGTGCGATGATAGATCCCATAAAATTGATCTCCCCACTGTATAAAAGCAAATATCTCTATAAAGAAAGGAAAGGACACAAGGGAAAGCTGAATTCAGTGAGTTTCAAATAGAAAAACTGAACCTAGAAAAAAGATCACCAATCGGTAATTTTTAATGAAAGTTACTTTACATTTTGAGATTTCATCTGCATTTCAGAATTATGCTTTAAAAATATATTACATTTTATGTAAATATTTTAAGTTCTCATTTTTACAGTTGTGATATGACCACTTAGTGATAATTATTGTTTCAACTGTGTTATTGATAAACATTGATACTTTTTATTTGTTCTAGCCTCAAGATATCCAGAAGTGTGTCCTAAAAGGAATAATTAACGGTTTATTGCATGAATGGAAAGGGTAAATACAACTAACTTTTATATACATCTATAACACATGACATTTTAATTTCCACAAGATTGGAATTTTAAATACATAAGAGCCAGTTTGATGCAGTGGTTAAAGTGCTGGCCTAAAAACCAGGAGATTGTGAGTTCTACTCCTGCCTTAGGCATGAAAGCTGTCTACGTGAATTTGGGCCAGTTACTCTTTCTCAGCTCAGCCCACCTAATGGGATTGTTGTGGGGAAAAAAGAGAAAGAACTATGATGTATGTCCCCTCTCTTGAGATATTTATAAAATCACAAAGGCAGGATAAAAATCTAATAAATAAATAAACTAACAGAACATTCAATAAAACCCAGTGATGATTAGCTTACAAGCCTTTTGGAGAATATAGTCTTTAGAACTTAGTTCATTATTTTGATTTGAAATTTAACCACTTCTCTAAGTAGTTGTGTTGTTGATCTTACAATTTTTGCAATAAGTCTATTAGCAAATATAAATATTAGGTCTCTGTACAAAACTGTGACATATTTCTATTTGCATTTCACAATTTACAAGCCTATTAATATATTAATCTTAACATGTGAGTTTGATAAATAAAAACTCACATGAACAAATGCAAAACATTTTCCCTTTCTGATTAAATATCCCATGCTTTTATAAGTCTTACATGTAACTAGGGATAATTTTGTCACATAATTGGAGATTATTAACATCTATGTGATATGCCTTTATATTTATTCTTAAATTAAATAATTACATCATTTATGTACAGTCTAGCTAGTATAAAATAGTTGCAATTTCACTTAAATACAGTTGAGCATGCATTCACAAATTTAGATTGTGCCTTTCATTTTTCACTTATTCATGTTCTTTCAGGCCACAAACAAAAGATGATCTCAGAGCATATTTTGTACTTCTACAGGTAAGAAGAAGAAAAAAAGAGTATTTATTTAAGGGGTTTTGTATGCCTTCTTCTGCTGCAAGTCATGTTATTTTACCTAGCACTCATTATGCCAGTCCTTGTCAAGTGCCAGGGAAATCAGGAGTATAAAGATTTATTGCGAGCTTAAGCTGTCTACAAGAATCTGAGGTACTAATGGTCAAGGGAAATTAACGGGAGATAAGAAGAGAAAGGAATTCAAGGTGGGCTGGACTTAGATCTCTTGTGGGCATGCAGGGATTCATGACTGATGATGTGTTTGACTCCCTCCCTCAGGCTCAGCCTGGTAATCTCCTAAAGTCCTGCCCTTTGCATCTTTACAGTGCTTATGCACAAAGAGAATTCTAATAATAATAAGCATCAAATGCCAGAAAAGATCAGTCTTAGTGTTTGAAACATTCTAGTACATGTATTCACATTTATTTGTGTGTCACCATTTCAGCATATCTTCCTGAGTGAAATTTATTGAGGGGAGTTGAAGACTACTTTTATCTTGATGGGATTTTGTTCAGATACAAAACAAACTGTCTGGCACTGCTGTGTTTAAAAGGTTATTGCTGTGCCATAATAGTTCACTTTTGAAATCAGTAAATTGGCTTCATCACTGGTTTTATCCCAGTGATATGATTAATACTGGGGTGGCCTCATATGTTTATAGCTTAACTCCATCACAACTGAGCAGCACTGTTGGGTACAGTTGCTTGTATACCAATTAATCACTGACAGAATCATACGGTACTCTGTCTATTTTCAATGCAAGGGAAAAAGCAGCCTTTTAACTTCTAGGGTTCTTATATGGTTACTTCACTAAATTGAACTTATTGATGAGGTCACCAGAAGTCAGAGTAAATGTTACTTTTTTAAAAGAAAAATAATCATAAAACAATCCATGTGTTGCTCATGAGAATAAAAATCCAGTTGAATTATACTTTATCAGAACCAATCAAAATAACTTACACTTATTTCAGTAATATTATTATAATTTGGAGATAGTTTAGATTTTTTTTACAGTATACTAATGAAGTTTTTAAAATCTTTTTCAGAATCCTCTGTTTAGTAACACAACAACATATGTTATTTTTGCTCACTTGCTAAGACAGATTGCTGCCTTAACTGAAGATGATCATCACTACCTAATTCACTGGTTTAAGAAGTAAGCTATTTTCTGTTGTTTAAAATTATGGGTTTTATGCTTTCAGTTATTAGTTTCAGTTATTGCCCTAGCAGCTGCTGATAAAAATTCTGCAGAGGAATTATTGAGTCTGCCATTTGTATTTCTATAATTGTCTGATTTGGTACAGCAATCAAACAGGACAGAAACCGACCTCAACAGATAGTTAGGCCTGCAGAAAAAACAATTGCAACCAACTTGCCTTCCACTGAGGACCTGAATAATGCACAAGCCAGAAAGCGCTGAGAAAATATCTACAGACCTCTCACATAAACTGTTTCAACTCCTTCCCTCAGGACGCTGCTATAGGGCATTGCATGCCAAAATAACTAGACACAAAGACAGTTTTTTCCCCTTGTGCCACTCTGCTGAACACCTCTTATGTCTAAGGATATGTACCCATGTAGTATGGCTGTATTACAATTATCCTTCTCATCTTTGCTAATATCTTCTCCTGTTGGTATCTTATGATTATATTACCTTGTTTGTTGTATGTACACTGAGAGCTTATGCACCAGAGACAAATTCCTTGTGTGTCAAATCACATTTGGCCAATAAAGTATTCTATTCTATTATTTATGTGTGATAGTCAAAATACCCTGAAGTGCTAGCAACTATTGAAGAAAATTTTGCTGAGGCTTCTCATATTATAAACTCCATAAATTATGTTTTATATTAATTACACTTTATTCATTATTACAACAAAAATATTAATCCACACAATCTAGTGCAATGAAAAACTGCCCTGAGTTACCTTAACTTTCTCAAAGAACTGGACAAGGAAATGCTGTGCTGTGTCTTTTCCACTGGACCCGCCAATTTCAATGACATAAATTCATCAATATATAGTTATAGTTATCTAGTTACAACTACATGCTGTATTGGCAATAATAGCTTAGAAAAAGTAATTATTATCTTTCATAGAAAGGGTTAATAGTTCTGCTGAATACATTTTCTCCATAGTATTTGTATTACTCATGAATGTTTTGTAGAAACATTTTGTGGAATGTTATTAAGAAGTAAGAACTATGAATTCCATTAGTACTCAAGCTATTATAAAAACAATATTTATATATTTTATAGGATGTCACAGAAGCGAATCAAGCAAATTATAGAGCGAATCCTACAGTTTATTTCTTTGCGTCTGTTTCCGGCAAAACCTGAAGATTTGCCTCCTATGGAGAAATGTACCTGGTGGATTCCATCAGCAACCAAAGTTTTGTCTTTATTTAGTAAGTTTGTTTAGATTCAGTTAATATTTTCTGTCTTTTCATAGCTATAAGGCATTCAAGCACGTCAGTATACAGTATACAAATTATGTCAGTATAAAATTAGTTTTTCTCTTTAAACCAACACTATTACATAATAGCAGAAAACATTTCAACAGAATATATATGTATAGTCTTTATATTGTACAGTATTTTATAATTATTTTTAATCACCTTTAGGAGAAAATATTTAAAGATTCCATATTGTAATAGTAGTAATATTTTAATGGCTTGAAGGATTTGTGATTACAGCTATTGTTTATATATACAGTATACATAATCATTCAAAAAGTATTCAGACCCCCTTCACTTTTGTCAATTTTGTTATGCTACAGCCTGATTCTACAGTTATCAAAATTCATTTTTTTTTCATTAATGTACGCTCAGTACCCCGTAATGACAAAGTGAAAACAGAATTTTAGAAATTTCTGTAAATTTATTAAAAAGAAAAAGCTGAGATATCACAGACCTTTCACTCAGTACTTTGTTGAAGCACTTCTGGCAGCAATTACAGCCTTGAGTCTTTTTGACTATGATGTGACAAGCTTCTGCCATTCTTCCTTGCAAATCCTCTCAAGCTCAGTCAGATTGGATGGCAACTGTTGCTGGACAGCCATTTTCAGGTCTCTCCAGAGATGTTCAATAGGGTTTAAGTCAGGGCTCTGGCTGGGCTACTCTAGGACATTCAGAATCCCTAAGCCACTCGTGTGTTTTCTTGGCTGTGTGCTTAGATTGTTGTCATGTTGAAAAGTGAACCTTCGGACTAGTCTGAGGTCCTGATCGCTGTGGAACAGGTTTTCATTGAGGATATCCCAGTATCTTGCTTCATTCATCTTTCCCTCAATCCTGTCTCCCAGGCCCTACTGCTGAAAAACATCCCCACAGCATGATACTGCCACTACCATACTTCACTGTTGGGATGGTATTGGCAGGTGATGAGCAGTCTTAGTTTCCTCCAGACATAACATTTAGAATTGAAGCCAAAGACTTCAACCTTGGTTTCATCAGATCAGAGAATCTTTTTCCTCACAGTCTGAGAATCCTTCTGGTGCTTTTTTGCAAACTCCAGGCAGGCTTTCATGTGTTTTGCACTGAGGAGAGGCTTCTGTCTCGCCATTCTGTCATAAAGCCCAGATTGGTAGAGGGCTGCAGCAGTGGTGGGATTCAAATATGTGAACAACCCATTCTCTGTGTGGATGTCACTTCCGGAAGTCCATTCTGGGCCTGGGAAACAAAAATTAGCTACCAGTTCTGCTGAAGTGGTGCGAACCGGCTGAATCCCACCACTGGGCTGCGATGATGATTGTCCTTCTGGAACTCTGTCCCATCTCCACACAGAATCTCTGGAGCTCAGTCAGAGTGACCTTTGGGTTCTTGGTCACCTTCTCCCCCGATTGCTCAATTTGACCAGGTGACCAATTGTTGGAAGAGTTCTGGTTGTGCCAAACTTCTATTTAAAACTAATGGAGGCCACTGTGTTCTTAGGAACCTTTAGTGCAGCAGAAATATTATTGTAGCCTTCCCTAGATCTGCGCCTTGCAATAATCCTGTCTCTGAGCTCTGCAGGCAGTTCGTTTGACCTCACGGCTTTTGCTCTGCTACAGTATGCATTGTAGAGAGGTATGTGCCTTTCCAAATCATGTCCAATCAATTTAATTTACCACAGATAGACTCCAATCAAGGTGTAGAAACATATCAGCAACAATCAAGAGAAATGGAAGGCACCTCAGCTAATTTTCACATGTTGTTGCAAAAGGTCTGAATACTTATGCCAGTGGTGGCGAACCTATGGCACAGATGCCAGAGGCAGCACTCAGAGCCCTCTCTGTGGGCATGTGCGTTGTCGCCCCAGTCCTAGGCCTTCAGCTGGGTTTTATAAAACTTTTCGCTTTAGGCGCCATGTGCCAAAAAAAAAAAAAAAGGTTCAATCAGTCAATTTCAACTTCTCGCGAAGAAAAAAAAAGATCTTGCAAAGTTGGAATTGATTGATTGAACTTTTTAGTCCCACCCAGTCTGCCATTACCACAACACCCAATGGGCCACACCCACCCGTTACTCGACAATGCCTAAGTGGGCTTTGGGTTGCAGTTTGGGCACTCAGTCTCTAAAAGGTTCGCCATCACTGACTTATGCCAATATGATATTTCAGTTTTTTTCTTTTTAATAAACTTACAGACATTTCTAAAATTCTGTTTTCACTTCAATTCTGTCATTATGAGGTAGTGAGTATGGATTAATGCAGTGGTGGGATTTAGTCAGATCGCACCACTTCAGCAGAACCAGTAGCTATTTTTTTGTTGCGCAGGCCCAGAATGGACTTCCGGAAGTGGCATCCACACAGAGAACTGGTTGTTCACATATTTGAATCTCACCACTGGATTAATGAGAAAAAAATGTATTTCAACAATTGTAGAATCAGGCTGCAGCATAATAAAATTGATAAAAGTGAAGGGGATACTGTACACATACAAACACATATATGAAAGAATACCATTTTAAACTACTATATTACAGCAATAATCCTGTTTCAGTTATTTAGGAATATAAAAGTGAAACTATTACTTAAAAAAAGAATACTGCAGCAGTAAACAGATCAAAATTACATACTGTAAACCATTCATTTAATGACTGTTTGAAGTTACAACAGCACTGAAAAAGGTGACTTATGACCAGTTTCCACACTTATAATCTTTGCAGCATCCCATGTTATCAGAATCCAGGTGCTTGGCAATTGGCATATATTCACGACAGTTGCGGCGTCCTGGGGTCATGGCATCCCCATTTGTAACCTTGTCATCTGGTTTCCAACAAGCAAAGTCAATGCGGGAAATCAGATTTGCTTAACAACCACATGATTAATTTAACAACTGCAGTAATAACCACAGATGCTTAACAACTATGGCAAAAAGGACCATAAAATGGGGCTACCTCACTTTACAACTGTCCTGCTTAGCAACAGAAATTTTGGGCTCAATTGTCGTTGTAAGTCAAGGACTACAGTAAGTCAAGGTTGTAAGTCAAGCATGTATGTAGTCTATGTAAAGTTTTCTGGTTCCACTCATACTTTTAAAAGTCTAAACTTATCCCTTCTATTAGAGAAGGGATGCAACAAAGAATATTATTGCTTTTTTACAAGTCTTAATTTCATTGTTTTAAACAAGGTTGCCAAACATCGTTACTGATAACTAAATATGTCATTGCAGATGCTTCGAATAGTCCAGCTAATCCTTCTTTTATTCCATATACGGATTTTTATAATTCTACACTAGATCATATTGATCTCATGGAAGATTATCATAACTGGCAGTGTTATGGAAATTCTCATAGGTAAGGGAGTATTTATTTTAAAAATAAAGGTTTGATAGTAATTTTTGTTTGAAAAAGAGGCATCTTACAATACATTATAAGTGATACATAGGTTATCAACCTGTGTATAGTTGTGTGTAATTCTCTAAACAATGAAAGGAGAGAATTAAATGTTAATAATAATTTAATGTTAATGTTCTTAAAACTTTAATATGCTATGTAGAATGTGAAAAGTATTTTAATTGTTGAGCAGAAATTAGTTAAAGATCAAATATCCAGGATCATTTTTGGGGGTCATTTATAGCTATAGTTATTATAGCTGCCTATAATGCTTATTCTCTATATGCTGTTCTATCAGTAGCCCCTTCAGTGCTCTTTATTAATCATACCAAGTTATTTTTTAGGTTCTAGATTTCCTCCATATAATTAGCTTAATATATCCTAGACTACATCATTTATATTTCTCAATGAAATATAATTCTGAAACATCAGTCCAATACACATAGAAGGCACTACGCTCTAGAAAACCTGGTTTAATAACTCTTTTTTTATCTCAACTGTCCAGAATACTAATATACATTTAAGGGAGATTTTATTTTTTGTATAATTGTACAATTATGTTCTGTAAGAGGAAGAGGACAAAGATTGCCTGGATCTCTTTGATAATTATTAAGTGTTTCTTTGGCTCATAGGTAAATTTGTAGAGATTCCCCAGATATCCATATTTTTCTTCATAGCTTCTCACAAATTTTCAGTGTTTTTTTCAATAGGATACAAGTAAGTTGACCCAACTAGTGATATTTCTAGCTTCCAAGTGCAAATGATGATAGAGACAAAACAGGTAGAGAAATAAGCTTAGAGGAATAGCAATAGAAAGATTTCCTATGAAAATGAAATGAGAGACTACATTAGTCAATAAACACAGTATCTGTGTCCCTTGAATTAGCTAAACATGTATGCATTATTAACTGTTAAGCAGATAATTTCTTTTGTAACTTTCTTTTTTAAAACGGACAGTCTTCGACTTAACTGTTCATTTAGTGATCGTTCGAAGTTACATTGCTATTGAAAAAAGTGACTTATGACCATTTTTCATACTTACAACCATTGCAGCATCCCCATGGTCACCTGATCAAAATTCAGATGCTGACTGACTCATATTTATGATGGTTGCAGTGTCCCAAGGTCATGAGATCACCTTGTGTGACCTCTCTAGCAAAGTCAACGGGCAAGCCAGATTCACTTAACAACTGTGCTACTAACTTAATAACTGAAGTGAACAGCTATGGCAAGAAAAGTCATAAAATGGGGCAAAACTCACTTAACTGTCTCACTTAGCAACAGAAATTTTGGGTTCAGTTGTGGCTGTAAGTCAAGAATTACCTATATTTATCTACTGTAATTCATTCTATGTTCTTCCATTAATTTATTTCAATATAAACATGTACACATATGTGTAATATTTTATCATTCAGGTTTTCCTTCTGTCAATATCCGTTCATTATTTCTATAGCAGCAAAAAAAGCTATAATTCAAAAGGATTCAGAACAACAAATGATAAATATTGCACGGGTAAGCATTATCATTTATTAAATAAACTGTGTATTAAAATTGAAATAATAATTTATATATTAAATACTTTGTATCAGTCACTTTTCTAAAAATATTTAGACTTCTAGGATACAGCTTAAGTTATGCTTTAAGTTAACTGTTGCTAGGAGTTGGGCAGCATATACAGTTAATAAATCATTATCTATAAAAATGTATTTGGGATGTTTATGCTCTGTATAAGCATGATGAACCATTTGTAATAACAAAGAAGGAAGATATTTACCTAAATCAATCATGGAACAAACTGTAAAAGAGTTATGTTCTTTTTAAATGCCAGGGTGGAATGACTTTACAGTTATTAGAATTGTACTTTTACATGTACAGATAGATGTAACTCTTCTTCACTTCAGTGTCCCTCTTTCCTACAGTGTGTTATAAGATATGTGGGCGTAAGGATTGTAAGGAGCAGTTAATTGCTAGCAAATTCTGAAAGCTAAGTGTAGAGCATATGTTAATTTTCTGTATCAGTACTATAATTGCTATCAAAACTATCCACAGAAGAAAGATGACTATGTCACTGAATGCATACTTTTATAGTTATTTGATAATACTTACATTTCTGTATCAAAAATTATTCCAATCATATCCTATTGCTTAACTTAACAAATATTGCATTTGATATATCTTTTTCTATATATTTTGTTAACTATGTAGATTTGATGGAATACTAACAATCCATAATTAAGATCAGGTAGAAACATATACAATTGGCATTAGTATTAAATATTTAGGTTGTAAAAATTAGTTTACAGTATTATAGTATCTTTCATAATTCATAGAGGACAATATATGACAGTTGTGGCGAACCTATGGCACGCGTGCCAGAGGCAGCACTCAGAGCCCTCTCTGTGGGCACGCACACCATGCTCTGGAGATGGCAACCATCCCTCTTCAACCAGCCGCCTGCTAACTCGCCGAGGTCCCACATGGCTGGATGCATCCCAGCATGGCTGGTTTCCCTCCCCCCCCGTCCCATCCCTCCTGGCCTCGTATGCTCTCCTTTTCCCAGGCATGAACCACTGTATCGCCTTCTCAGCTGTTGGCTGACCACCAGCTCAGAGGCGGCTTCTCTGAACTGCTGGGGGCTGGCTGCAGAGCTCCAGAATGCACCGGTCGAGGAGCCGGCAGGCTGTGGCTGCTGACGGACACTGTCAGCCCCCATGCACTCGCTGGCCTCTGTGTGCAGGGGCCGATGTTGTCAGGCAGCAGCCGCCCCAGCCCCTGCCTTGCCTTGTCCTGCGACAGTGGCACCCCAGCCCTGCCTCACCTCACCTTGCAGGATGAGCCTCCTGCCCACCGCCCCACCTGCCAGAGACCCCCTGGATCTCACCCAACCCTCCTTAGCCCCCACAGGCGTTCCTCCCACAAGCAACATTGAGGTGACCATACCCATCTTGGCCACACCCACCCACTCTGCCATGACCACAGCCGGGTGTCCACCTGGTGATAAATAAGTGGGTTTTGCGTTGCAGTTTGGGCACTCGGTCTCTAAAAGGTTTGCCATCACTGATATATATGACCATTATTTTTCCCTTCTCCCAACCTCTTTGCATTGGAACAGCAAAGCCTTGTGGATAAAGTATCTCGGAGGCAGAGACCTGATATGAATATGTTATTCCTAAATGTGAAAGTAAGAAGAATGCACCTAGTTAGTGATTCGTTGGAAGAGGTATGCAAAATGGTTTCTGTAAAAACTGTTGAAAGAAACATCCCGAAGGGTTCAGATCCTTCCATATCCAAGTCGTAAATCATTTTGATTTGTCCACAGTTCCTAGTTCAAAAGTAATGGTAAACTATGCTGTGATAAATGCAGAAGTCCTTACTTCTGGCATTTGAGGAGAGGAGGTAAATGAAGGAGAAAAGAACATGTAAGTCATGGTATCATAGAACCTGAAGGGGCACTTCAGGATCTCATGTCCAACTCCATGCCACATGCAGCGTTCCAAATTAAAGCATCCTGTCTAGCCTCTGCTTGAGAAGATCCAAGGAAGGGGAAATCATTTCCTTCCCTAGGAATTGTTCCACTGTAAATCTCTTTTTTATTAGGATTTTTCTCTTAAAGTTCAACCAGAATCTGCCTTCAAATAATATCATGTCACATATACTGAAATAATAGAGAACAAGTCTTGGGTGGGGGGTTTATTTTGGGCATGATATTTGTTCAAGTACTTGATGAGCGCTAATGTACCACTCTATCATCTTTCTTAAAGTTAAACATACCTTATTCCATTATTCTCTTTGTAAGACTTAGTTTTCAATCTATTACACATTTATTCCAGTTTTTTTCTGAATATTTTTATAATATATGTAAAAGAGATGGTATATGACCTGTGCGGAATAAAGTAAAACTATGACTTCTACTAATAGAAATAGAAATGGGTAGAAAGGTTATTGAAATCCCTAATCAGCTGAACCTTTAGTGTTTCTTTACATTTGAATGTTAGTTTGTATTATAAATGTTGCATTTATATCCCCTGTTCTCCAAAACAATGTTAAAATAGCATTATTACCTTGTTTCATTTTATAAGATGATAGATTTAACTGTTCACCATTTTGTTTGTAATAGCTCACAAGGAAGCGAGCAGATTTAAAAAAGAAATTAAAAGTTACATTTGTAGGAGAAGCTGGTCTTGACATGGGTGGCCTAACAAAAGAATGGTTTCTTCTTCTAATTAGGCAAATTTTTCAGCCAGACTATGGTGAGTTTTTAAGTTCTACTAATATTTAACCAAATAAGATAAAAATTAATGAATCCAAACTTGTTTGTGATGAAGTTTTAAACAAAAAAAGATCTTTAGATCACCTGATTGTATCTCAATTTACTACACACTTGGATCATCTATGATTGGCTTGCTGTATATTCTCCCAATAACAGAGTCTTTTAGTGGCATACAAAGGATATCAGATTCTCTTCCTGGGTAGACAACTAATTGAGAATTTCTCCTCAACTAATATTCAATCTAAAAGAAATTAAGAAGTTCAGAAGAGGATATCTAAAATATGAGATAGTATTAATGGGTAATGCTTCTTTGGAATTTTTTTTAAAAATGTTAACACTATACCTATAATCATCATAGTATGTTTTACCATTTAGGGAAATATATACACTGTATTCCATTAAATATATTTATTAAATATTAATATTACATTTCAATTGTGTTGTGAACTATTTCACCAAACTGATATAAACTCTCAAATAAAAATAAAATTAGAATATGTTTTGTTTTCTCCAGCTGACCTTCTAGTTTTGTTATATTTCAGTATTTGAAATAAAACCATTAATGCAATTTGTGATTGGAGAAATTATTCCCTTGCTATAATGGCACATTTATTTAAAACTATTATTTGAACATATTTGAGAGATGAGAATGAAAATTTTAGACATAGTTCACAGTATCTTTTGCGAACAGTAATAGAATTTTATTTTAAAAATGTTTATTCTCTCCTACAGGCATGTTTACATATCACAAAGATTCTCACTGTCATTGGTTTAGTAGTTTGAACTGTGATAATTACTCTGAATTCCGATTGGTTGGAGCTGTATCCTTTTCTGCCCACTAGAAGGTGCTGTATACGTAGCTGATACCCCATAAGGCGCTTCTTTGCATTTTTATGTATTTTTTCTTTTTTTCTTTACATAGCATTCACTTGAATGTATTTATAGATTTATCTACAGTGGAGGCCAACAGTAGTTATGATCAAAAAATTAGTTATTTTCATATTTGACAGAATGGTTCAGATACGAAAATGAATAATTTATTTCAACAGAATTATTTGTTGTTTACTTTTACAACTCGTTCATTATTAATAAAGGAAGATTGTATCATTGGCACAAATTAATATGTTCAATAGAAGAGTTCTGGATTCAGTATAGAGTCGTGATGGCCAGATTCGAGACCCAAATACTATCTAAAAAGTTGTTTGTACCCAGGAATTGGGGATTATTGAACTAATAAACATTAGGTAGTCCTCATTTAGCAACCATAATTGGGACTAGCAACTCTGTCATTAAGCAAAGCAGTCACTAAATGAAACTGCAAATGTGCTTATCATCTTACTTCAAATTTCTTATGTTTTACAGACCTGTGAAGGTTGTAAATAAGAGAATTGGTCACAAAATTACTTTTTCATCACTGTTGCAACTATAAAAAGTCATTAAATGAGGCAGTCTCATAGTGAGGCCTACCTTTAGTTATATCTTTGCTTGAAATATCTATTATTTAAGAGTGCAAACATAAGAAACATATGTTTAAGCCCCATTTTAAAAAAGTATTATTTCACATACAAAAAAGGATGCAGCCCTCTTCAGTGCCACATATTGACTTGTCATAATGGGGACTCAACTTGGTTGCAAAAAATAAAACCTCATTGAGGAGGAATTTTTTGAATAAAATTTAAATTTGCACAGTTATAATGCTGATATGTTGATATAATAGCCAAAAATGTGTTTTTAAAGTAGTTGTTTAAATGCGATAAGTTACACATGTGTGTGTAACTTATTTGTGGGTATCTTTGAGTGGACAAGTCCCTGCAGTTTTCTTGTTAGAATTTTCAGAAATGGTTTTTCCATTGCCTTTTTTATAGGGCTGAGAGATGTGACTGGCTCAAAGTCATGCATCTGGCTTTGTGCCTAAAGTGGGATGGACTAGAACTCACAGTCTCCTGTTTCTAATCTTCTAATCACTATACCAAACTGACCTGTAGATTACATACCTGCATTTAAAAAAATAATATTTTGTTATCTAATACTCTGATTATGAGTAATTCTTTCTCTCATAAAAATGCCTACCCACATATGGTATATGTCAGGGCTTTTCAACCAGTGGTATGGGTACCACCTATGGTACATTGGCACCTGGCAGGTGGTATGCGATCATCCTAGAAAAATGGTAGCTGGGGGGGAATGAGCTGAATGAGTGGCAGCACCGCACAAGCCTGAGCGAGAGATGGCTGGAGCTGCAGGGCTGTCAGGGCTCAGCAGAAGCATCAGGATCAGCACTTCTTCGGGACTGTCAGGGTTCAGTGGAAGCGCCAGGATCAGCACCAGGCTCCAGCTGGAGCTCAGCGCTGATCCTAGCGCTTCTGCTGAGCCCAGAAGAAGCACCAATCAGTTGGAATGTTGCAGCATCTCCAGGGTCTTGTGATTTACATTCAGATGCTTGGCAACTGATTCATATTTATGATGGTCACAGTGTCCTAGGGTCATGTGAAGTGATTAAAACCTGCTGCAACCATCCAGCAGATGGGGGGAATAAAAACCAAACACCCCCCACCCCCGCTGCCAATTCTCAGCAGAAATGCTCACAACAGTGAAAACCTCGGATAGGAGGAAGAGCGCCGCTGGGTGGGCAGGCAGGTGTTTTGCTTGGCTGTGCCTTGGGGGGCACTTTTTTCAGTGCCATTGTAACTTCAAACAGTCACTAAGCGAACTGTTGTAAGTCGAGGATTACCTGTACTTTATCACTTTTTTCCTTTCTTTTTTTTTTTTTTGGTCATCAAGTTTTTGACACCTTGCTAGGCGACTTGTGGTACTCAGATATTGCCATATCCTAAAAGTGGCACAATGGGTGAAAAGGTTGAAAAGCCCTAGTATATGTAAGCAAATAATCTTTAATAGAATTAATTTGGAACATGTTAGTATCCTAAAAGAGCTACCTGTACTTATCTTGATTTTCCAAGCACTGATCAATTAAAGAATCCCATCAACTTCTTGAAAAGGTACATTTTTTAAAAAATTATCTATTTGTTAAATGTTTATGCCACCCATCTCATTGTTGAACAACTCTGGGCAGCTAACCTCATCATAAAACAGCAATACAAAACAATCAGAATGTTAAACAATAAAAACATTAATCATTAAAAGTTAACAAAAAACTCGATAAGAAAGGAACTAATACATAAACAGAGTGGAACCTTCTTCTTAACCAACTCCAGAGTGAGCCCCAAGCCAATCAGCAGATCTAGATTTTCAGGCACTTTCTGACAGCCAAGAGGGTGGGGGCATATCTCACCTCAAGCAGCACAATGTTCCAGGGAACCATGGCAGAAAAGGCTCTTTTTCTAGACCCCACCAACTAAAATTCCTTTCCTGACTGGCTCCTTCTACCAGAGGAATTGGGGCAGGCCAGTCTTACTGAGATGAGATGGATCTTCAGGTAGCCTGGACCCCATGCCATACAGGGTTTTTAAAGTCCCAGGGACTCCTAAAACTGTCTGCACAACTGTATTCTGTGCCAGCTACAACTTTTGAATACTCTTCAAGGATAACCTCATGTAGAGCACATTGCGATAGTCCAAATCCGAGATGATCAGGGCTTGAGTGACTAAGCACATTTTCAGCTTTATTTATATTTTCTTTATTTTCTTTACATTTTAAGCTTTATTTACTCTGCTTTCAGCCATTTTGCAGTTATTACATTTTCATTGAATGAAATTTGACTGCAATTTCAATAAGAATCTTTAGGATACAACATTGGTTATTATGTATGATATTTTAATGTCAGAGTATCTAATGAAGTGGCTCATAAAAGAATTGCTATATCATACAGTAATTTTGTTTATCTTAACATCACTATGAATTTTTTTTTTTTTGCACTGAACATGACTATTTCTCTGGAATTCCAGTTAAGAAAAAAATCTGGAATAGACTGTACTTTAAAAAGAAAAAGAAAGAAATGTTTCTGTTTCCATCATAAGCTGGTTACAAGATGATGTGTTGGTAGTTTTCCATTTTACAAACTCATAGTTAAATAATTTTGCATAATGTTTATTGTGGAAGTATAGTATATTAGAATAGACACAGGGAATATTGTTGTAGTTAGGAACACATCCTTAGTGTTTCCATGAGATGCACTAATTTTCTACAGCAAATATTTGATACGTTATACACAGACCATGTTGCTTACACAATAGGGAACCAGGATCTATGGTATTTTGGGCAACATTTTGGAAATGGCTTGTTGCTTTCTGGGATTATATTTTTAAAAGAATTCCTATGTTAGGGTGAAATTTCATGACTTACTAATAAGCTTGTTGGTGGATTATTTGTTATAGAAGTTAGATTACGTCTAGATGCAGTGTCAGTATTCTAAATATGTAATATTTTTATCACCCCTGTTTAATATAACATTAATAAAACTGATAGTATGCCCTAAAATGAGAGTATGATTTTAAACTTAACATTCATCGTCTAGCTTATGGGGCTAGCTGTCTATAACAGTATCACGCTGGATATTCGATTTCCGTTGTGCTGCTATAAAAAATTACTTAGTCCTCCCATTGTACCATATGACCTGAATACACCTGTCGGAATTGGTAATGTTACTATTGATGACCTGTGTCAAGTTATGCCGGTAGGTATGAGTTATTTTGAAATTTCAACTTTTTTCAGTACAGTATTTGTGGTTTGATTGCATTATTTCAGATTGTGTTTGTAGAGCAGAAAATACTATTTATACTTTACAAAGTTCCTATTTATCATTAGCAGATTCATACATTATTATAACATGATAAAGCCCAGAAATAGTATGCATTTAACATCAGCGATAACAGGTAATGCTTTATCTTTGCCTTGTTTGTACTGTGTATGTTGGTGTTATATTTGCTGTATGTAGGTTATGTATATTGTTAGCCATATTGCAAGGTTTTTAGTTCTGAATCAAATAGCCATTTCTATTTCTGAAGCATAATTAAAATTATTCATTTTAACAAATGTAGCACTATTGTAAATAAGGACAAAATGCAATCTCTGAAAAACAAACTCAATTGTAAATTACTTTAGAATATACTGTACGCAAATATTATTCACATGAATAATTATCCTAATGTTCATAACTGACACATATTTATAAAGCAGAATATTTGTAGCTCAGGGTTGACATGAGAGGACCTTGGTGCTCTCTGAGCTTGCTTGTTTTCTTGCAGATGCTTCATTACCCAACTACATTACCTAACTACATACTTCCAATTTGATGGGCATATTTACCAACAAATTAAAGAGGCACCTATAGCAGAGGTTGTCATACAATGTCTAAAAACCATAGCACTTCCACAATACCACTGAAAATATGGACCAGATATGTAGATGACATCATCATCATAACAAAAAAGAACCAATTAGAGAACACCCACAGAACTATCAATAACATTTTTAAAGGAATTCAGTTTACTAGCGAAAAAGAAAACAACAACTCACTACCCTTCCTGGATATCCTGATCAGCAGAGACCACAATGGCAAACTAGAAACACAAGTTTACAGAAAAACCCATACTAACTAGCTGCTCCATTACCAAAACAACAACCCAATCTCCCACAAGAGAAGCTGCGTAAGGACTTTATTTAGACAAGCCCAAACACATTGCAGCAACTGGAACAGCAGAAAAAGGAAATAGAGCATCTATACAACATATTCCAACAAAATGGATATCCACAAAACTTTATCAAAAAGTCCTGAGCATTCAACCGAATATAGCACAACCAACACAAACCCTAAAAAGAATTACACTGCCATACATCAAGAATATCTCAGAAACTACCGACTACTACAGCCTCATATCAGCATAGCACATAAGCCAACTAAAAGCCTTCAAACATCCTAAGCAGACCAAAAGACCCAACAACCCTAGAACAAACAACAGTCATCTACAACATACAATGTAAGGATGTAGGACAAACAGGCAGAAGACTGGCAGAACGCATTCACAAACACCAGCTAGCAGTCAAAAGACATGATGAAAATTCTTTAATTTCACAACATATAGACAGATTTAACCATAATTTCAATTGGAAAAATGTGACCATCCTAGACCAAGTCAAGTCCAAAAATGCCAGGAAATTTCTAGAAGCCTAGCACTCTGACAAATTAGCCATTAATAGACACATAGACATTAACAACATCTATAGACTATGCAAAATACACTTTCACCCAGCCCAAAAAGGAACAAAAAGACCCAGCCATCTCTCCACCAGCAATCACCACCTAGATCAGTATAGATTAACTCCAAGGTTAACATCAGATCAACAATCAAGTAAACAATACCCCAGTCAAGAAACTGCCAAAGAAGCCAACAGCAAGCAGCCCAACCAAAGAATCTCTAAGACCAGCCCCACCAATACTGACAGGGAAAGCCACTAGAATATAAACAGAAAAGCAAACTGCAGTCCTCACTAGCACTGATGATGCTTTGGGTAAAAAAGCAAGCTCAGAGAATACCAAGGACCCCTCATGACACATATTTTATCTAGAAATGTCTTCAAATAATTATCAATATATAATATTTGCAACTGAACCATGAAGAAGTTACAATTCTAAACTATTTTTTTTTCATGTTGAGGAAGTGTCAGGCAATTTAAGATTCTGCGATGCTCAGTTAATGATAGCTCTTTCACACATGCAAGTAATCATTTGATGTTTTGCCAGAAATTGAACTACTCATATGCTATAACAGGATAATAAAAACACGGGCTTTTTCCCTTCCAGCATAATTCCTGGAGAGGAACTGTGAGCAACTTCAGTAATAGGAGATACACGAATCCACCCTTTTACAGATTAGGGGCCTCCTTTGGTAACCAGTTTAGGAATGTTGCACTGGTTCTGAATAAGCTCAAGAAGTTTGGTGCCTCCAGGACTATGCAGTAATCATATTAATTATCTACTAAATTGTCAAAACACAGTATTTTAAATTGCAGATCGCATATAAGAAACAATATAAAAAACAGCATTAAAGAAATATGGCCATAAAAGAGCCCACTCTGATTGCCATGTACATGTATAGGTTCAACATCAAATCCTTAATGTAATGTCAAAAACCAAACTTATAATTTTTGTTTTTGCGGGAGATGAACTAAGAACCTAAGATCAGGGATAACTACCCACTTTCAGTATATTAGGTATCAGAAACAATATTTAGTAACCCTCTCCAGGAGGCTTTATCATCCACCTCAGAAAAACATTTGCCATTGAATACATAATGTGCAGTTTGGACAGTGGTGGGATTCAGCTGGTTCGCACCACTTTGGCAGAACCGGTAGCTAAATTTTTGTTGCCCAGGCCCAGAATAGACTTCCGGAATGGCATCCACACAGAGAACCGGTTGTTCACATATTTGAATCCCACCACTGAATTAGGATAATTCGGAATGAAAGGGTTGCCAATGGTCCATTCTACTACTGTATTTATAGAAAGCTATTAATGTTTAGGGCTTGCAGTTCTGTCCTGCAAAATTGAACAATCACTAAGTGGCAGCAATCACATATAGTAAGGTGACCAACTTTTTTACAATGAAAAAGAGGACACAAATAAACTGAAGAAAAAAAATATTGTAAAAGCTGGCTTGGCCCATGGAAGGTCAACCGTCCACCGTGTCCCCGCCTGCAGCCGCCCCACCAGCATCGCTGCCCTGCCGTGTAGAGCGGGCCCCACGACTCCCAAAGCACCAGCCATGCCGGCTCTGGCCCTGGGGGGCAACCCACTGTCAACACACCCCGCCTGCAGCCGCCTTGCCAGCATCACCGCCCACCTTGTGCAGCCCATGTAGAGAGGGCCCCGCGGCTCCCACAGCACGGGGGGCAGCCGGCCACTGCCACCCCTCACACCCGCACCCGCAGCACCCCTGCTGCGCTCCGCCTCTTGTGCCCACAGCCATTATTGCCCTAGCAGAGCCGAAGATCAAGAGAAACTTACCACTCCAGTCTCCTCCAGGTATCTTTGGAACTAACTAGGAGATGATGTAGTTGGGTAGCAGGGAGGGGTGCTAAGTTCCTGCCAATTCGCCTTCGCTGCAGACAACTTGCATGTGCAAAGTTTGCCGGCTGGGTGTTTTGGCGTGCTCAGCAGCAATTCCTATTGGCTTTTGAAAGCCAATAGGGGGAATAGCACAGCTCATGCAAAAGTTGAAAAAAAACCATCAAAACACCGGAACACCGTTCTGAGCATTCTATGAGAAAAAAAGCCCCACAGATTAGTCTTCAAATATCAAAAAGGAGGACATGTAGGAGGACACTTTTCGAGGGAGGACAGAACTTACAAAAGGAGGACTGTCCTCCCTAAAGGAGGACGGTTGGTCACCTTACATATAGAATACACTCATTTCTTACTATTGTCAAATTAATTTGTTTGCCATATTTAAATGCTGCCAAATCCCAACATTTTCAAGAATGCTAGGCTATAGATTCTATAGCCTAGCATTCTTGAAAATGTTGGGATTTGGCAGCATTTAAATATGGCAAACAAATTAATTACCATGCTAGATTCTAATAAAAATGCTGCATTTTTAAAGGTTCATAGGAGAAATCCTATTCTAATGTTTTATAAAAGCTGTAATACTTGGGCAATTAAGTCTGGACTGTAAAAGCCTCAATGGTCAATAAATGGCAATAAAGATTAGTTTTCTGTATCTCTTTGTTGCTATCTCATGGTCATCAGGAATTTGTGCAGCCCCAATCTTGTAGCCCTATGTAATTTGTATCCTCAAAGAAGCATTTGTTATTAAAATAAGGACTTTATAGAGTGTTCATTTAATATATATATATATATAATGGAAATGTATTTAAATAGATAATTTGGAGCAGAGGTGTTTTCATTAGGCTTTTTTTATCCCAGTATGATGAAGAAGGAAACTATGTGCATAACCGTCAAAAGGAAAAGCAGTAATGTAAATAGTATTTGCTGCAGTAACATTTGGTATCTGATATGAAATGCTTGTGCCTACTCGGGTGATCTCCCACATAACATTTCTCTAAGATTCATAAGGAAAGAAGGATGTTCTGTATATGTTAAATTTCAAAAAAATTTCTTACAGGAGTTAGCACATGGATTAAATGAGCTGCTATCCTACGAAGGGAATGTTGAAGAAGACTTTTATTCAACCTTCCAGGTATAATAAAAATAAAACCAGAAAGCTTGAGTTGGAAGGAATCTAACAGGTTATCTAATCCAGCCCCCTTGATAAATTCAGGGATCCATTAAATTATATTAATGTTATTTTCAAAAATGCATTTATATTGTATTTATGACAACAGCAGCATTTAATTAGCTTAAGAACAAAGATGGAAGTGAAAGTGTCATTCAAAATATGCTCCCATTGTCCAAAATTCTATATTATCCAAATTTAGTTTTTCTCATCTTTCCAAGCGATTTATTACAATTATTTAGAATATTTTGGCTATTAATCATTCTTTTTTTTTAGCTTCTTACTTTATTATTTTATCCTTTCTTCAGTGCAGCTGGGGGCTAGACAGCAAGTCAGCCAAAACTATTTAATGATTTCAGATTTTCACTCTGGTTGGCTGTGTTCAGTTTTTAGTCATCCCCCGCTTTCACTAAGCTCTTGAAAAACATTATAGCCTCTACTTACTTTCCATTGTATAGCTCAGAACACCTTTTCCATTAAATAAATGTTAGTGTAAATACCATTTTAAGTGTAAATTACCATTTTAAGAAGGGAGGGTAAGGGAGGGGGGAGGGAGGGGGGATATTATATTATATTGTATTGTATTAAAGATTTGTATAAAATTTTTCAATAAAAAAAAAAGAATTGAAAAATAATTGTAGCTAGAGCCAAGGAACACCTTATTTATGTGTAAATGAGTTTTAATTTCTCTTAGAATTAATAGTAATGTACACATTTACCAAACCTCATATGATCTGTCTGAAAGGCTTAATATTCTGACAGAACGTCTGAGTTGAGTAACAGATATTTTGTTTTGTACATACGTACAAGTGGTCTTTAACTTACAACCATTCAATTAGTGGCTACTTGAAGGTACAACAGCACTGAAAAAGTGACTTATGGCTGTTTTTCACATTTATGACCATTGTACCATCTCTGTGGTCATGTGTTCAGAATTTGGATGTTTGGCAACTTGCTTGTATTTATAATGGTTGCAATGTCCCAAGGTCATGTAATCACCATTTGCTACCTTCTGACAAAGAAAGGCAATGGGGAAGCCAGATTCACTTAACAACCGCAGATATTTGCATAACAACTATGGCAAGAAATGTTGCAAAATGGGGCAAAACTCACTGTCTTGCTTAGCAATGGAAATATTGGAGCTCAATTGTGATCATAAGTTGAGGACTACCTAGTATTACATTTATATCCTACTTTTTCTCAAGGGAGACACTATGCTTGATGTTCTCATACTGCTTTTAGCCTCCTAGCAACATTGTGAGGGAAAAAAGAATATTGGCCATAATAATTAGCAGATTTAATTGGCTGAATACAGATTGCCAATAGGGTATTCCAATCTTAGTCTGTCACTGCATCTCACTAGAAATATCTTGTCTTATCAGGTTTTTCAAGAGGAATTTGGTGTCATAAAGTGTTATGACTTAAAGCCTGGTGGTGATAAAATACCAGTTACCAATGAAAATAGAAAAGGTATAGTATAATATAAGATAGAAATAATATGAATTAATTGGAGCTGTTTTCAAAATTAAATATGATAATACACTAATTTTAAATACTGATACTAGAGTTTCAAATGCACTGCAGTAAACACCTATGATTAATACTAAAATAAAATCTGAACTATTTCTTTTTCAGAGTATGTGCAGCTTTATGTAGACTTTCTTCTCAATAAATCAATCTACAAACAGTTTGCTGCATTTTATTATGGATTTCACAGTGTCTGTGCTTCCTATGCATTGATGGTAAGAATAAGAAAATATGGAATAGAAAGGTCGGATGCGGTATATTTTGGAGAATACTTATGCATACATAGAGTCCTTGATTTATGACTGGTCACTTAGTGACCATTCAAAATTACAATGGACACACACACACACACACACAGAGGTACTTACAATCTGGTTCCGAAGTTCTGGCAGATGGGGAAGTTACCGTAGAATACAGTAGTTGTAGCTGAATGTTCAGCTTAGGAAACCCTGGTTAAATTACTCCTGTAAGAAAGATGTGCTTACAGAGAAAAAATGAAAAGCTTTTCATTTTGTAAATAATGTTTTTTTCAGTATAGATGTTGTTACTTATTCTTGCTCTAACCAGAACAATTGCCAGAACAAAAAAGGTTGGTGATTAATAATTACAATCTATTTACATAACCAAGAAACATAAGATTTGTATTTAAGTATTTAGCAGTGAGCGGAACTAAATTAGTTTAACTCTAGCATACTGGAATGTAAAGCTACTGGTAAGACTATACTGAAATTTTTTTTATTACAAGCAACTTTGAATTGGACAAATATTTGTATCTTTGTTAATAATTACTTTATTCATATAAACTGAATTTAAATCCAGTGTTATGAAATTTTATATTTAGCCTGAACCTTGATTTAATAATATTTTTTTGCTGATGTTATCTATATTTTCCTTATTTTCCCTGTAATGTTGCCTTTTGTCAAGCCTGAAATGAAAGATTAAGAAACCTCAAATATTACAAAGGAAAAGTATTTACCAGTTTATACAATCCATTTTATTTTGCAGCTGCTTCGTCCTGAAGAAGTTGAAATTCTGGTCTGTGGAAGTCCTGAGTTGGATATGCATGCTCTCCAGAAACACACACAGTATGATGGCTATCAGAAAACTGATCTTACTATCCGGTATTTTTTTTTCCTTAACTCTTAAATCAAAAATATAGAAACTGATTTTGAGTTGGAACTAACACTGTTTTGTATAAAATCCAGGAATTTCTGGGAAGTAGTACTCGAATTTCCTCTTGATCTCCAAAAAAAGCTCCTACATTTTACTACAGGAAGTGACAGAATACCTGTAGGAGGAACGGCAGACCTTAATTTTAAAATTTCAAAGAGTGAAGCATCCACAAACTGGTAAAAACTTTGGCTTATACTGTTATTTTTCTGACTTGTAATCAAACATTACAGAATAAAATTAATGCATGTAAGCCAGTGAGGGAGTCATTGAAATGTTGCTTGTGTACCTCCTATCTGGACATCTGAAAGTAGAATGTTGCTTCTTTAAATGGCCCAGGCCACAGGTAAGATTTATAAAACTGCTTGTCAGGAATTTGCTACAAATAAGTGAAAACAAAAAGAATGTTCAAGGGCCAGGACCCAATCCATTCTGCTCCTCTTTCCTACTCGGTCCTTCCACAAAAGCGGATTGAGACTGCCAGCCCCTTTTTTCCACCACTAAATCTAAATAGGGTCAAGGAGCATCTCAGCAAATATGACAATGTCAAAATGTTGACAGGGGCAGGTTACTCCATAAATGCCATGATTAGGCCTGTACAGGTATCCTGTCGTCTGATGCAAGTGTAAGCATCTCAGGACTGCATGTAGATGAAATCATGCACATCTTGTCCGTTGCTCCCTATGCAATTGACCAGGATTAGGGGATCCATCATAATACTCCGCTACTTCCAGATATCAGGAGGGTTGAAGTAAAATTATACTGAACTGCTAAACATCAAACATTTTAGAGCTGTCAATTTTTAGTAAAGAAATTCTACTTCTCTGCTCTATGAGCATTCTTTCTTTGTTGTGACGGAGGGGGTCAGTTTGTTTGAATTCAAATTAACAGAGCCATCTTATTTGCAGTACAGCGTAGATATTTGAACATGTCCCCTGCTGGATTAAAGCCATGTTTTAATATAATCATCTAAATCAGAGGTCCCCAACCTTTTGAGTACCAGGAACTGGTACTGTGGAGAGAGGTTTTTCTGCAGACTGGAGGGGACGTGGTTTCTTGTACTGTCTGCATCCCGCGGATGGGGCTTTGCTTGTTTGTGCAGACCAGTTTTTGGCATGCCATGGACCAGTGCTGGTCCACTGACTAGGGATTGGGGACCCCCTGATCTAAATTATTTCTTATTTAATATGCATATCTTCTTTTGCTTATTTTAGGTTACCTATTGCCCATACTTGCTTCAACCAACTCTGCCTGCCTCCATACAAGACCAAAAAGGAATTGAAGCAAAAATTGACAATTGGAATTTCAAATGCAGAAGGCTTTGGTTTAGAATAAGACAACTTTTAAAAACCATAGCGGATGTAGCACCTGCTTTTTACTGTGCCTTTAAAGCTTATGTTTCAATCTCTCAATACTGTGACAGTCTTACTTAGAACTGTGTGAACTGTTGTTGTTTTTTAAGGAGTGCATTCTTTTTTCTGTATGGAAATATGTTTAGTCTTTCTTATAGAAATTTTGTATAAAAGTCTTAATCTTTGCAATATTTGATACAAACCTGTCAGAACTATCAAATATATGATGCTATACAGCAGTGGTGGCGAACCTATGGCACATGTGCCAGAGGCGGCATTTAGAGCCCTCTCTGTGGGCACGCACGCCGTCACCCCAGCAGAGTTCACCAGAGTAGCGAGCATGAGGCGTTTGGAAGCGACAGGGCAGGAAGTGAGTGAGCAAGCAGCGTTGGCCCCCTGGTCCTCGTCACCCTGGTCCCAGCCCACCCACCCCACCCACGCCCACCAGTGACCACCGAAGCTGTGAGCACCGCAGCCATGCCCACCAGTGAGCCATGTCCCCCTGAGAGCACCACAATGCTGACGCAGCCCTGGCACTTGGCAATAAATAAGTGGATTTTGGGTTGCCGTTTGGGCACTCGGTCTCTAAAAGGTTCGCCAACACTTCTATACAGTCATCTAATCTAAAAGAGGCAACCATCAAGAATTAATCTCTATCACCTCAAATTGTTTGCACTACAGGGATGAGGTTCAGAATAAATTATTATTGATCACAATTGTTATAGCTCATTGACAGTATATTCCACTGGGAAGTGCAATATAGAAATTGTATTCTTCATAATCAGTTAAGCCTATTTTCAATTAATAACAAACTGTAATTGTTATTTATCTGGGACAAATTGAAACAAATATTGTTTTAAAGATAGATTAAATATTATTTTGGTTTTCCTTTTCAGAATAAATTATTAATTTAAGATTATGTAAATAATTGCCCATGGGCCAATATGTTTTTGATAATACCATTTACAGATAAAGATTTATTTTTACAGGGTTTCCAGTGTTAAATATTCAAGATTTTTACAACTGAACAGAATTGATTGTATAAGAATACAAAGGCTGCTATCTTACTATCTTAAATTTATCTAGATTTAATGGACCAATTGTAAGTTTTAAATTGCATGTATATGATACAGATTGGTAGATTTGGCTATTATGTGTTTGTAACTCCAATTTAAACAGGAAGATTGAATGTTTAATAATAATAAATTTGGATTTGTTACTTGATTAAAAACAAGTCACTTTGGCACAATGAGAAAGTAGTTTTAATATTAAGTTATGCATCATCACATTACTAACACCATATTGTCTTTTATAGTAGGTTTAAAATAAACTAAGCACCTTTTTGTATAAAAATGAATGTAATCAAACTATAGTAAATGTTCTAGATTTTATTTTATTTCTTACCTGGAAGTGTGATACCTAATAGCCAAAATGGCTCTTAAAACCTGAGATTCATTTCCAAAGTTGTTGCCATGATCTCCTCAAGTACCACAGGCTAGAGCCAAGCATTATCTCCAGAACATTCTTTTCATGAATCTGTGAGGGCAATTTGGAAATAAACCTCCGTTTGGTTATCAATGACAGACACTCGCAGATACAGAACTTTTATTATATACATTATAAACTACAACATTACATTACTTTTTGACATAATCGCCATTCAAATTGAGGCACTTGTCATAATGTCTTACAAGGTTTGAAATTCCTTAGTAGTAGTTGCTCAGCGTCAAATCTGGGCTATGGGGGGTGGGATCAAAAACATCCAAACAGAACTGCTTCAAAGGTTTTTGGATGCGTCTAGTGGTGTGCAGGTGAGCATTATTGTGAACCAACACCACACTGGAAGTGGTGCCATAGAAAATCCCACCAAATGTGAAGATGCCAAAGGAGTACTGCTAGTGAAGTTCATGGAGCGTGGTTCGACCATCAGTTCAGAAGTCTACTGTGAAACATTACAAAAACTCAGACGAGCCATCCATAACAAGTGTCAGGGCATGCTGACTTCCAGTGTGGTGTTGGTTCATGATAATGCTCGCCTGCACATAGCTAGAAGCACCCAAGAACTTTTGAAGCAGTTCTGTTGGGATGTTTTTGATCACCCCCCCCCCAATAGTCCAGATTTGGCACCCAGCAACTGCTACTAAGGAATTTCAAACCTTGTAAGACGTTATGACAAATGCCTCAATTTGAATGGTGATTATGTCGAAAAGTAATGTAATGTTGTAGTTTTCTAATGTATATAATAAAAATTCTGTATCTGCAAGTGTCTGTTATTGATAACCAAACGGAGGTTTATTTTTGAATTGCCCTTGTATTTGGACAACAACTACTGAAAATAGAAGGTTGGATTAGGACAGGGGTAGGCAACCTTGGCTCTTTTATGAGTCGTGGACTTCAACTCCCAAAATTCCTGAGCCAGCATGGCTCAGCTTGTAAACCTCTCCCTTTCCCCTCAGCATGGCTGGCTCAGGAATTCTGGGAGTTGAAGTCCATGAGTCATAAAAGAGCCAAGGTTGCCTACCTTTGGACTAGGAGCTATGGTGGTGCAGTGGATAGATTGCAGTTTTGCAGGCTCAGTGGTTTACAGTGTCCGCATATTGTCCCCAACAATCTGGATCCTCATTTTATTGATCTCAGAAGGATGGAAGGCTGAATCAACCTTGAGCCGGTCAGGATTGAACTCTTGGCTATGAGCAAAGTTTGCCTGCAATACTTACTTCTGACCATTGCACCACCATGGCTCCTTTTGCTTCTTTCTCTGGGAATTTGTACAAGTCAGTAGTTTGGACAAAAAAAAATCTTATTACTTATTCCTTTTTCTGCAAGTGCCGTACTTTGTTTTATGCAACTTATCAGCTTTATAATGGTTTCAAATTTATTTTGTTGTACATGGTTGTGTCTGATAATATCTACTGATTTGGGGGTCTATTTTGCCAAGACCGTACTTGGCAAAAATGCAATCAATGTTCAAATAAGATCTAACCTCTTTAATATGACAATTATCCAACATTAGCCTCTGCAACCATTGCTGTAGAAAATGAGAAGATTACCAAGTGGTTAAATTCAATCTTAATTCAGTAGAACAGATGTGCTGCTTATGGTTGGAGAATAGAATGCCCAAACTAGAAATAGTAAGAGGAAAATGTAGGCAGAGTTTAGGGCCTAGGGTATCAAAGCAGGAAATTTAAGAAATTATTCTAGATGTCAGAACATATTGTGGAAATTGCCAAGAGGAAAAAAGAAGAGAAGCCGAAGCCAAGAAAAAAATTCTCTGGAAGCAGCCTAAAGAGTTTCAGAGAGTGGTTGAATGACATAGCAGTATTGCGGTATTAAAATGACATTGAAGATAGAAACAGAGAGAAAGTTTTCCAAAAGAAGTTTTTATTTAGAAGGAGATTAAATGTCTGTGGAGAATCTTGGTCATCCAGGTCTCAAAGGTGCTTTTTCAAAAGACAACTGGACTATGTTTTTTTCTGGAGGAAGAAGATGTTTTGCTTCTCATCCAAGATGCTTTATCAGTTCAGGCTGGATGGGAAGGATTGGTTCTGATAATTCTTCCATTCCCTCCCCCATACAGGATGCTGTCAGAACTACTTCTTCCGTCCCCCTCACCATCCAACCAGAACTGATGAAGCTTCTTGGATGAGAAGCAAAACATTGTCTTCTTCCTTGAGGAAAAAACAGCCCAGTGGCCTTTTGAAAAAGCTCTTTTGAGTCAGAAGGAGGCTCTGGCCTCAAACTGGTATACTGAAGGATGGCTATGGACAAATTGTAACTGATTCATAGATCAAGCAAAATGGAAGGAGTATATTGAAATTCTATGCAATAGGGAAGTCAACATCCCAAATACCTGGAAAATATTTCTTATTTACAAGAACCTATAATATTAGAAGATGAAGTAGGTCAGAGTTCTGGTTAATATCAAGATAGAAAGCTACAGAAATTAATATAATATCTACAAAAATATGGCAAGCTATAGAAGAATAAAAGTTGTAAGTAAGTTAGGCCACCAAAAGTGGAACATGACACAGATGCCAACAGTTTGGAAAAGCTCAGTCTGCATACCAATAAAACAGAATTAAGAGAGTCTGCAAACTTACTCAATATCCTTAATGTCAAATGCTACCAAAATAATGCTTAGGATCAGCTAAGGCAGATCAGATGAAAAGAAAGAGAAATACCAGATGCTCGTGCTGGTTTTAGAAAAGACCAAGGAATAAGACATTATTGCTGATACACACTAGATATTTGAGGAAAAAAATTCCATAAATCTGTGAGGGAGATGGGCATTCCCAAAATGTGATAAGAAAATAAAAATAAGTCCGTATGTATTTCATTGATTACAGAAAGTAATTCATTTGTGTCAACCATGTCAACTCGTGGAATATTCTTAGGAAACTGGCATTCCCAGAACATCTCATTGCCTTCAGGAAAAACCTACACAGGATAGGAACATTCAGAGTGGCAAACCAAATTATCTCCAAGTAGGTAAACAAGACGCTAAAATGGATAGTTTCCACTTTTTAGGAGCAATTGTGAACCATAAAGGAACCAAAAAAATAAATATGCCACAGACTAGCACTTGGTGAGATAGTAAGAATGGCCTTAGAAAAAATATTCAGATGCTGTGAGATATCTATGCCTACAAAGATCAGAATTCTATAGGCAACTATTTCTTTGTGACACTCTATGGATGCCAAAGTTGATGCCGGATACAAAAGATCAGTTCCACACGTGAAAGTCCAATTAAACTGATGTATTGCCAAACAGATGTGCACAGGAATATTCTCAATTAACAGCATCTGCTTAGAATTAGATAAACACCTAAGGAATTCAAAGTTGGGAGTTGGACTCAATCCACTTATGGCTACTTTGGGATTATAGGCTAATCCATCTTTTAACTCTGTCCCTGGGTTCTGCTGCTCTTTCTCCTAAAGTTGGGCTTTGAAGAAATAGGATAGAAAAGGTATTGATGCCTTTCAATTTTGATGCTGGAAAAGATTCCTGAGAATACCATGGATAGCCCAAACTACAAAGACATACAATAAATCATAGAACAAGTCAAAGTTCTCACTCAAGACACAAATGACCAGGTTCAAATTACAATATTTTAGGCACAGTAGGCCACAAAAGCAACTCTGTTGAATAGTCTATATGATGTTCAGACAGATGAAAGAAAAGGATGAGCAGCAGCAAAACGGATGGACTCAATCACAGGAGCAACAGGGGCACTATTGAGATGTCTGAAGGACATGTTTGGGGATGGATAATCCTGGAGAAACTCTATCTAATGTTGGTCAACACCAACTTGAGGGCTCATAAGCAAGCAAACAAACAAAACGAGAAACTGCATTAAAGATGAAGAATTCTGGCTTTTCTGCCTTTCCCTTCTCTTCCTTTCCCTACATTACTACCAGAATTTGAAGAGTGCACAATATTTTTTTAATCAATCCCAAGCCCTCTTCAGAGTGCTGTCATACTGTAGTGTTAAATATTTTTAGTCCATGAAAGTGCTTATAGAAGCACTTTCAATTGTGATTTGCCATTGCCCTCTATCTAGTCTGGAGAAGGCAAGACTGACTCCAGATCATCTAACTGGCTTCCAAGCAAAAGGAAGGCCTAGAACTCTGATCTCCCTGATCTCTGTTAAGGTTCTTAACTATTTGGTCAAACTGGTTCATCACAATATTTAACCAAAAAATTAATATTAGGAATTGTCCTAATATTATGAACAATTGTCATTCGTTTTCCACCCATAACATTCCTGTATTGATTGTTTTCCAATCTTTGGTAGAAATTGTTGGTTATATTTGGGCATGGTGATTCCATAAAAAACTTTAATCAAGTTGCTATATTTATTTCATTTGAGAGAGTGTAAGCCAAATATATCTGGTCAGAAATGACTTCCAACTCTTCCCTGTAAGGAGAGCTGAATATGATTTAGGGACCATCTGACACCCACAAGAGAAATACAACAGGGATCTTTTCCCTCCAACACTTTAGTTGCTTCATTTTTCCATCTTGTCATGATTTATGCATGTATTTATTTTTGCTACTCTGATCTTCAAGCCAATGAAATTTAATTCTTTCCAGCATTAGCTGGATAGCTGCAAAACTGGGTCACTTTGACCCACAATGAAGCCCTCTATCTTTTATGAAAGGACTTGGAATGTTAAAACTTGGCATTCTTCCAGCTGCCACTAAATCTTCAAATACTGCACGATATCAAAGAGCCCACAGCACTCCCTGTCTGCCATCCCACCCAAGATTTTTATAAGAATGACTTTTTAAAAAATTCCTGAGCATTAAAATTGACACCTTCTGATCTATGCAGTGATGGTGGCTTCCTGATTAATGAGACACAGCTGAA